TGTCTGTATATCATATATATATATATATATATATATATATATATATACACACATATATAATTTATTTAAATTTTTTTATGATTTTACACTAGCAGGGAGACTGCCTGTCAGCACAGGCAGTCCCCCTGCAGGCAGACACATGGACACCTATTGTGACCATGTGACCGCTCTGTTGAGCAATCACATGGCCACAGGGGTCCTAATCCACCATGGGGAGACTGTCTGGGCTGCAGGCAGTCTCCCCACACCAGGAGCACCGCCGATTGCCGCTGGGGGAACGACGGCGATCGGGTAAGTACATAAGACCGTTAGGACGGATCAGGACCGTCACCAGTCAGCAATGGAAAAATGCTGATGACGGTCCTGAACCGTCCTCGGTCGTTAATGGGTAAAGGGGAGTGAGAGCAGTCCCACTAACTGTAAACTTTTTTTTTTTTTTTTTTTATTCTTTATTTTTTGTGAGTGATCGCCGAAAAAGAGCATGACACATGAAACACATCAAAACATTTCAAATACAAGCATGTTACATTAGCGGGTTACTCAGGGTCTCTTTTCGTTATTCCACTCTTTTTTTTTGGTAGTAGTGACTAGGATTCCCTAATTTGGACTTGGAGTGGTGTAGTAGTCTACTTCTATCTAGGGATCTGGTCTTAAGTCTTGTAGTGCCTCTTTGGTTTTATTGTGTTAACGCTGTTAGTCAGTGGCTTCACTGAGGCATTCTGTGAGGTAAAAAGTTAGCCTGCTAGCCTTCATGGGTGGTAACACTTCGCTTGGTACACTATAGCTTGGGTGGAAGGCCTTGGGAGTGGGCCGCGCATGCCTAGGTGTGCTTAAAGGAGGGTATAATGAACTCTAGTCCATTGCGCGTTGTGTGGGGGGGGGGATATAACGGAACTCAGGGCTAGTCCATCAGCTTACGGAGCCAGTTTAGTCATTGGGAAGGGGTATCTAACTGTAAGCTTTTAAAACTTCCAATAATAGGTGATCTTACAGATTGACTTACTAGCATAGTCCAGTGGTCATGAACTCTCCACAGTTGGTTGAGGGGCAAAGTAAAGGTAAAAGTAGCTGATATAGAATTCTTCCAATTCAACTGTAGTCACAATTTGGCACTTTTAGCTTAAATTATTGGTTTAACCCCTTAAGGACCAAACTTCTGGAATAAAATGGAATCATGACATGTCACACATGTCATGTGTCCTTAAGGGGTTAAACCCATTAACTAATTCCAATAAAGTTGCCATGATGCCCCGAGTGTTCCTTTAAAAATACATAAAAGTTGAACTTTAAAGTAGGCCCTTTCAGTGCCAGAAAGTTAAAAAGTCAAGGGAACTAGAAAAACATTTGCACTTTAGTTACCATAAAGTTCCTAAACTCTCTAGATTTATCATCTTTTATGCCACATTTCACAGTGTAAGGGAAAGCGTAGATTGTTCTGTATTGCCATGCACTTCCCCTATACGCCCTTGAAACTCTCATCCAACAATACAACAGTTATTCACTTAGAGCTGCTCTGGTACAAAACATACAGTAAACTTTGTCTACTCTGCTTCTGTACAGCTCTCCAAAATGTGTCAACATTTTGTGTATAAATAGCTTTTTTTATTCCTGAGAACTCTAGTTTTCATGAAGTACTTTAGGAAAAAGTATCCTCTCTATTTCTGTCATGACAGTGACCCCTTCGCGCAGATAGTAACCCAGTAAGAGACGTATACCGGACCTCAGGGTGGCCGGGCTTAACGTCAGAGAATAGTCAAAAGAATAGCCAGAGGTCAAGGGAGTACAGAACACAGAATACACAAGAAACAACCAAGCCAAAATTCGGGAAGCCAGAGAGGAGAATAGTCAGTAAGGAAAGCCAAGGGTCAATATACCAGAAAACAAACACAATTGTCAAGAGCACTAGAGGAAACAAACAAGAACCACACTAGGGTGCTGAGGGAAGGACAGGGGCGCCCTTTTTTCCCCCCAGGTGTGTTTTGCTTTAAAGCCACGTCCCCAAAAGGTCCGGGAGTGTGGCCACGTTTGAATTTTTCCGGCAAAATCCTGATGACGCTGGCGCGCATGTGCCGCGTCATAAGAGGAGGCTTACCGCGACGGCCAGCGCCCGACAGGCTGTGCCGCCTCCCGGAAGCAGCCAGGGAGACCGCCGCGCTACGCGGGTCCGGGGGTGAAAGGTAAGGTATCGTCACAATTTCCACATGTGTAGCAGTCAAATTGATGAAACTTGACAATGGGTGGAGTTTAGGCAAGGTTCATATTTCAGATGCTAATCAAATTTACCCACAAAATGAATGACAGGAAACATCATGGGCAGAGGAGAACAAAATGGCTGCTCCCTGAAATTAAGCTCAAGGAAGAGACGATAACAAATATAAATCAAGGTATTTGGCAACATAAGAGTATAATCATTCCGATACATGGGGCATAAGGAAAGGAAAACCAAAAACATTTGCAATTTACTGTGAATTCCCAACAATTCTCACTTTAGTAAACAAACCTGTATAGGAAAGCTCTTGCCTGAATTTCTGATTAGCAAGGCTGTTATTTTAAAATCAGCATGCAGGGTTTCTTCACACACCTAAGCATTTTTATGTTGAAGACTTCTTTGTGTCTACTGTTCAAGAGTAAAAGTGAATGTATGTGTTGTGAACCTTGCAGAAAATGGGAGAGCAAGGGCAATGTTAAACATGAAAATCGCACAAAAACATAAATGGGCTGCAAATGATTCAAGTTGAGTTTTTAACCACATTTCACACTATAATTCTTTGTTAAAAATGGCATTCTCCTTGACATAATGACCATTATATATAATTAACATGGTGATTTTTATTTCACTTTTGAAATAAATCAGGCCCAATCAGGCAGGAAACACTTGTAAGATATAGGTAAGAAATAACACGGGGAGCACAAGAAAGAGCACAAATAGCCTACAGGCCCATTGGTCAGTTTGTCTAGAGGACAGGTGTAGACACGGGTCCACTTCGACACCCCGGGGGGGGGGTGTCCATGGATCCTCGTCCCCCCCGTTGGGAGCATATATGGCCAGCAATTTCTGTGGTGTTTTCACGAGAGAAGCATTGGAATGCCTGGTATAGTGTCATAAAGCTTTGCTACATACAGCTATTTCATGTCAATAGAATCAAAAACTTGATGCTTTACATTTGCTTCAACAACCACTTGATGATTGATTATTATGATTATTATTAAGACGTTTTAGTTTCCGTATCAGTTATTTAAGCAGGAACGTACTTACAATATCACAGGATCTCTTGTTCTAGAACTTAACCCGTTAGGCAGCCAAGGATTAAACGTGGATAGCTTGACAGTATGCTGCTCAACCCAATTAAAATATTTCAAACTGTCTTTTGAACATTACATGAAATTAACAGGGATATTATTTATAGAACATGCCACTTGAGGGAACAAGGATTTGACTGATCACCCTGTTGGTAGCAGTAAGGTTAACAATGGCTAAGGAGGGTTAATTAGCTAATCAGGCCAGCGTCCCAAAGCAGAATCTCTTAATCACATTGGGGATGTGAAATTTCATCCGTGCAGACGCGGCTTTGTGTGCAAATCTGCAGGAGCAGTTCTGGCTTTTCCGGGGTCAGATTCTCAAGAGCTCCTTTAAATAGGGCCTTTGTTTCCTTGGCTGTATGATACGATCATGAGGAACCAGAGACTGTTGGTTTGATTCTAGGGAGGGGCTGTAATAAGGAGGAACAACAGACGCCATATTTAACTAGTTGAAATTCTTCTCTGTTTATTGCGCTTTTTCTTAGTTCTGGGTAAGCTACTCTCAGCCAATTTTCTCAGTCTGCCTCTCTTTGCATACCTATGAATGACCTATCCTGTCACTTTTTGTCCACTGTGGCTCAAAACAAATGTTCCTTCAGGTTTATGGAAAACATAAATAAGCACATATACTTTATGTCAAAGAATATCATAATCTTACTATGTTCTATGTACACAGCTCACAATTTCTGCCTTCAGCCATTTTTTACATGTGTCGAGATGTCAAGGCATACAATGATTATTTTATAGAACCCGGTTTGCCCTATGGTTTAAATACAGGTCTCTCATTAAGTTTCTATATCCCCGAGTGATGATGCCCTTATATCAAATGCTAGAAAAATACAAGAGTGCTATTGTTAACTGCTGGTGAGATAACTCGGTTGATAACGTTTCCAGGTGCAATATTTTACAGTCACAGGTTTTCCCAGCCGTTTATACTTCTGAGATCAATAGAATTAGTACCGTTAAGTAATAGTAACATTGAGACAACAAAAAATAGATGTGTCTTTTCTGGTTAAATTAATTTCTTCTTATTATTAATAGTAGGACAAAACCTATTGCTTTCCGTGATATTCTAAAGCACTATATGTTCATGTCACATATTTTTATGGCATGTTCTGGAACATGAATTGTAAAGTAGTTTTCCACCTCTTTCATCCTTCAAAAATCAGTTTTTTCTTCATGCAAAATTATGCATTGTCCCACTATATAATGTTGTAGACTTCCATGACAGCATTAGAAAATAATCAGAGTTCTTCTGAATGGTAGCCCTACTACATGTCCGGTGCTTCCTATTAATGTATTGTTAGATTTCTAAATGTTTTTTGTTTTTTGTTTTTTTTGTCCACCTCCCATATAAATGTCCCTATTTCAACTAACGTTGTGATCTGTATGTCCTAACCTTGGAGACTGTATTGAAGCCTGTTGTTTTTGTCATTTCTTTACACCCTTCACCTCTTAGCTGTGGCATCATGTCACCGTTTGTAACCATGTTTATTAATACTTTTAGACACCACTTGTACATCATCCCAAAAAACCCCAGATAGGCCTTTTCTCTAAAAGGTAATGGCGTTGGAAGTGGAAGGTACTTACGTTAAAGAAGCATGTTTCCATTGCAGATCCCTATTGTAACAAAAGGAAATAAAATGCATTGAAAAAAAGAAGATTATAAAAATCAGTTACTCCAGAAGTTTGATTTTTTATTTTTTTTAATATATATTTGTATAGGTTTTATGCACAATAAAGGAATTACAAATCAAAAGAAACTAAGTAAGATAACATGATATATACATAAATAACAAAGATGCAGTTACATATAATAAGAAAGAAAAGACAAACAAAAAGTATCTTATTGTAACTGAATGAAGACTGATGGAGGAAGGGACAATTTTTATTATACACTGAGGTTAATCCGGGGATAGGACAAAAGCATATAAGAGTTAACCCCAAATGGGTTAATTAATTTCTGTCCCTCTTCATATCAAAACCTGAAATTAAAAAAATGGTTAAAACCAAATTCTACAGAGACATTGTTTGGTTTTAAATACACCTGTCTCACCACGTCTGTCTGAAACAAAAATATATATTTATATATATTTTTATATTTACATATTGTCTTAACTGTTTCCATTTTTTCATCCTGATAGCCATACTTCAGAGTAGCCATAATTCCTATTTCTAGAAATATTGGTGTGCACATTATTTTAAGTCGCTTAAAGTGGCCACCCTTGAGAATTTACGAATGTGCACTTTGTTAATGCCACCCATACAGCCAGATGCATGCCTGATAATGCAATCATTTGGGACTTGGAGTATCTGACTGCATTAATTTTCTTAAAAGAGATCTGCAAACAATATTTGAAGCAGATGTTTTGACCCATGGTCTTCAAACTTTTCTACAAGACCCACAGGCCACGAATCGAGAGCAGGTGTTTCAATAAGAATGAGTTGTTGATGACCTTGCCTGTGCTGAAGTAGAAATATCCCAAAATTCTGACCAGTTGGTGAATCCTAAGGACAAGTTTGAAGAATGGACAATTGACAATGAAGACTATGAAGGTGACTGGTATATCGGAATTATAAGTAAATATATAAGCCAATGGGGAAAAATGAATTGGCTCTGCCAGTGTCACAGATGTACAATGTCTGCATTTATTACACATTCATTATGCTCTACACAAGCAGGATGTGTAAATATGCTCTACTTAAATCTAGTCAAAATCTAAATACATTTTTATTTAATCAGATCCTTTCCAATTGTCAGTTGTTTTGTTTTTCTGGATCATTTTTTTTATTTCTCAGAGCTTCTGTGACCAATATTTTTATGGCAAAAAATAGGCTTTAAACAGTTCACTGGCAGCATAAATTTGCCTGTATTGAACATGTTAGTGTATATGTGTGCGTGTGTGTGTGTGTGTGTGTGTGTTTGTATGCTGTTGCATTCAGAAAATTGAATGGAACTAAAATATATGTGAACGTATCTATATTCTGCAGGATGCCTTCAAATATTAATGATACTATCTGCAAATCAGGTATGACTACTCTGTGCGCTTTCTGAATAAACTCCCTTGGTCGTCAATGATGACTGTTTTTTTTTTTACATTTTTTTTTTTACTAGTGAAAACACAATCTTGCTTGTCACATCCATGTGGCGATATGTCAGAAACCTTAGAAAACCCTAGTGTCCATATCAGTTTCACATTAGGCAGAAGTTTAAGTCTGTGGGATTTTCTAGCCATTTATGCGTAAAAAGAGCAACTGTGGAACAGCCATTAGTAACATTCTCTTGGTTTCTATAGTGACTGGTTCACTTTTAAAACTGTGCCCTACATCAGCACTTCATAAATAACTACCAATGAAGTTGGCTTGATAGAGCCAAGGTTCTCTAAGCTTCTAGTTATTCTATATCTGATCACCATAGGTCCTGTTTAGTTGGTGCAAAGATTAAAGAACCTTTTTTAGCACAATCCTCCTAATTTTTCTGTCTTCCTTAGGACATATCTTCTATAATTCATAAGGGTGTCGCAATATATAAATGAATACACAAGAAGTGGACTACCTACTTATTTTTCGTTAAACCTGACCATGTGTGTTTTCATAGCAGAATATTTATAAAAAAACATGTGGTTGTCACTTCAGAATAAAGGACAACACATTACCACGACGTCGACGTAAAAAAAATCGCCAGTTTGCTCTTTTCAAGAGACGTACATGCACATCGCACAATACTGTGGATGAATATGCAGGCCAATTGTTGGCTACCTTAGTGCACCCAACAGTCATTCTTTAGACATTGATGCCATATTGCTCTCATCAGCATAACGGATGGAGTACATGTTGATGTTGCTACTACTGGAATAACCATTTGATCTCCTCCCTCCACTTGTTCTGGTTGCTCAGGATTATTTAGATGCAGAGCTGTTTCATCAGCTTCTAAGGTGAACGAATGCAATTGAAAACCATGAACTGCATCATATTTTCCTTCATTAGCTATAATGCACTTTACTACGTTGTGGACAAGTGAGCAGGAGGAATTCATTTTCTGTGAATTCCAAAAGATGTTAAGTTGATTAGTGATGTTTGGACTATCCCTTATATCAAAAAGGTTAGCAGTTCATTTGAACTGGATAAGAATGTCAAGCTGCTGTGAGTGACTGAAGTGACCATGCCTTCAGCAGTCCATGACTGTAAGTCTTAAAACCTCCACTGTCTTCATGGCACCTATGGTCAAAGCCACTACCAGAACAGATGTTGCAGCTACTCTCTAATATGGAAGACACTAGTCCATTATCTGTGTATAACATGAATTCCCTTCCCCCATCCCTGCATTGCCCAGCTATCCTACCCCCACCATTTTTACACTGGAGTTCTTTTCAGAGAAAATGGCCCATGTATCCCGGTCACCATCTTTCCTAGGGGCCCGTAGAAACTGACTACAGTTTCCTGGTGCTCCTGAAATCCGGATTCTTCCTGGGATTTGAGCTGTGGGAGGACCCCGTCGGAGCACGTTGTTCTCCGAGAGATGCCCCTCCTTTGCCTCTTCCTCTGTATTCTTCATGGTCTTGATAAAGTAGTGTAGACAGGCTGTTCCCAATGCGTGGGACTATGTGACTGAGCCACACTAGGAGGCTCAGAGATGGCTGTATAAAGAGGACGCTGTGGAGGACCCATGTAGGAGAAGGCTGAATAAAGACTGGAGGCTTGGCTTGAATGGCTGTAATAAGAACTTGTAGGTTGGTGATCTGAGTAGTCAAATTGAGGCCTTGAGATTGAAGGGAAGGAGGAACCATAGTGTGGTAACCCCAGTGAAGTGTAGGTCAGCTGAGATGTCGATGGCTGCTCTGTATAGTGGTTTGTACTTGAGCTTTCTGTCTTCACTTGAGCTTTGGAGTCTGCCACAGATGGAGGGTGTTGCTTTGCTAGAGCCCAAGCAGAGGGACCAGCAGCCAGAGCTCCGGTGAGACTGTAACTGGAGGTGTACCCCCCAATATGACTTGGGTGACCAGCATGGCCATTTGGTGGGAGATACTGGTCAAACTCATTGACGTCAAAGGTTTCCATGTTGGACATGACATCATGACTGATTTCTCCTATATCCACATTGCCAAAATCAATATGAGGTTTGCCTCCTTCTCCCAGGGAACGAGAACCATCTCTCTTGCTATCAGATTTTCCTGCCTGTAGCTCTGTCTTAGGTGTAGTTGGTGGCGTAGGTGGACCATGACTTTGGCCTAGAATGGAAAGATATCTTTGCATTAACATACGCAAACAATGTGCAACATTTCAAATCAAAGTAATGCGCATATTACGAAAAATACTGGAGCCAATTAAAACATCTAGCCTGTGTAATCTGATAAATCACAGAACAAAGTGTAAGTGATAACATTGCTTTTATACAAATTTAAACTCCTTTATCATGAAACATCCTTTCCCTGAGATCAAGAATAACTTGCATTTATATACATGATTACAATAATCACTAATTAATTAAATCTAAACATGCCGATTACACTGATATAGCAATGCTTTAGTATTGTCACTGCTATATTAAGACATAATAGCCAATTATACTTAAAGGGACACTCCATGCACTATAACCACTTCAGCTCTTTGATTTAGTGCCTAGAGTTTCCTGGCGCTGTCCCTCAGTTCAGTGTTAAGACATTTTTAATGGTTTAACACTGATTGAGGATCCCCCAATACTGCATGGCCGGATGGTGCCAGGGGATTGCAGTCAATATAACCACTTCAATAAGATGAAGTGGTTATAGTTCTTTGAGTATCTCTTTAAATACATTTTTATTTTCTGCTGTGTTGTAACATAGTATCAAAATGAAGCTACAAATAGCATTTACACAATGCTGTTTATGCATACCTGTGGAATGTTCAGAGTTTCCATCAGACATAGGAGAACCATGTCTATGATCAAGGTGAGAGTTCTTGTAGTGTGCCTGAATGGAAGCAGCACCTCCCTCTGTCTCGGAGGACCCATCTCCCTCTCCAGGTGTAGGCTTCCCATTCTTTCTTCTACGAGGCTGATACTTATAATCTGGATGGTCCTTTTTGTGCTGCATTCGTAGCCTTTCAGCCTCCTCTATGAAGGGTCTCTTGTCATTCTCATTCAGCAATCTGTGGACAAGAAAGCTTGTTTAAAAAAACACCAAAAATGATTGACTACAAATAAATTTGTTTAAATTAATATATGAAAGCTGACAAGGATGTCAGAGTGGAAAGAGATCCATGTCAAACACTTTGACATTACTGTCCAAATGCATATGTGTCCATTGGATCAGGGTGGTCATTTAGAAAACGTATCCAACAATACTAAATTTAGGCCTTAGTGTCTTGACTTGATAAAGGATTGTGCTACATATGGGTTTCTTTATATAGGGCTGTCTTTTGAAAAACATGAAAAATTTAATTTGTGCTAGTAACATCCATTTATTATGTCCATTACCTCAATCCTGCTTTTCAGCCTGCAGGGAAACAAATTTCTCTGCAAGGGCTTCTTTTTGTCCTTGTGTATCACTGCATGGAGTCTGCAAATAGCAGCCCTCACCTACTTCACACTGTGCAGCAATATGTGGAGGTCAAACTTCATGACTTATGGACATAGAGCACACAGCAAGGGTTATTAGAAGAATGCAATGGTGACCTGCAATGCCTTTTGTTGTAGCTAATATGTAAAGTTACTTAAAATAATTTTTTCCCCATTTTATTGCACCTAATGAAATTGAGAATAAAGGTTTTTCCTGCCTGTAAGATATTTCAGACAGACTATAATAAACAGTTTAGCACACCAATAGATATTTAGATATTTAAGTTAATAAATAAATGAAAAAATACAATTCTGTAAATCTACATAATTTTAATTTTGATGCATTCCTAAACAGGAATCAATGAGGAATCTATCTATCTACATTTAAGTGTTACTATGTCCAATATGTCAGATATTAAGATATGTTATTAATGGAAATAAGTAATGAAAGGATTATTAAGACTTTACACTTTCACTTTGAATTTCTGACAGTTCATTCTTCATTGCAAGGGTTATGCAACCTTTGGAACTCCAGATTATGTGGACTACGTCTCCCCTGATTGAGTCCACAACATCTGGAGTGCCAAAGATAGCCTACTCCTGGTTTATTGAATATCCCTGTTATTATTTTTTTTGTGGACCCAGGGCTTACTTGAAAACGAAAGAAATCTCAATGTATCCTTTCTGGTAAAATATTTTATAAATAAATAAATACAAGTTTGAACCTTCTTGCACATTAATAAAATACTCTGTTAAGTAAGAGTTTAAGTAGGCTCTTTACCTCCATAACTTGCCCAGAGTCTTGCTGAGTTCTGCATTATGTAAATGTGGATACTGATCCGCAAGTTTCCTTCGAGCAGCTTGTGCCCATACCATAAATGCATTCATAGGCCGTTTTACATGTGGTTTGGACTTATTGCCACCATTAACCCTCACGGGCATAGGCACTAATGTCCAGTCGTAGCCACTGAGGACCTGAGAAACTGCCTCTCTGATGCAAACAGGGAACCTCTCATCTTCAGAATCTTGCTCCTTTTTCACTTTTCCATCTTCATCATCATCATCTGGACTGGAGTGGGCATGGGGTGGCATGGGATCAGGAGTAAGGGAGGGGTCCTCTGACCCAACAGGGCTCATTTCCACTTCAGACAGGCTCTGATCGTCACTCATGTTTGAAGAATCTAGAACTGAAATGTAACAATTTATTTATTTATTTTTATTAATTCAAATTAATTTGTTTTCCATGCTAATTAAAATAGACTTAAATATGCACTATTACCATTTCATCTAATTTGGAGTCCTCTGGTACTGTCCCTGCATTCAGTTCTCATCCAGTTTTGAACAGTTTAACACTAATTAATGAACCCTGGCCACCTACGGGGATATTGGAGGTTTTACTAAGGAAAATATTGCATACTTATAATCATATAAACTCATACCAGCAATGGGTACTTTGATAGGATGGAAGAGGTCAGTTGACACTCTAAGCCAATCATAGCTGTCCATTGCTGCTCAGGTAATTCTTCCTCATTAGCCCACGCAGTACAGAGCTGAAAGCTGTGAGGGACTAGCAAAAAGGTAAAATGGTTTAAATACTGAATGAAAGGGCAGGGCCAGACAAACACTATAATCACTTGAATGATATGAAGCAGTTACAGTACCTCCAGTGTCCCTTTAATTGTCAGAATATGTTTGTTTTGTTTTGTGAACAGCAGAAGGTTCCATTAACTCTAATCAGTGGGACAGGAAAGCAAGTCTAACTTGGCATGAAGCATTAGGTATGAAAATGAGTTACCAAGAACAAAAAACTTGTTTCAGCATCAATGTTTACAAAATAAATGAGAGTAATTATATGTAAAACAAAAACAAAAAAAATGAATTAAAGCAAACACAAAACTATGCACTTCCTGTTAATATACTGCGTGTATTAAATATTTATGTTGTGAAACCTGATGTAATAACCATCCCTCTACATTACATATAAGCCCAGTACTGTCTGAGTTTGTCTTGATAATCTGCAGCCAGGAGCTCACCGTTCACATGTCTGAGTGTATGTGTGTGTGTCTGAATGTGTGTGTGTCTCTGAGTGTGTGTCTGTATGTGTATGTGTCTCTACATGTCTGTGTGTGTGTATCTATGTGTGTCTGTATGTATGTCTGTATGTATGGGTCTATGTGTGTATGTGTGTGTGTGTATGTATGTGTGTGTCTACATGTATGTGTCTGTGTGCGTGTGTTCTGCATGTATATCTGTTTTTTGCATGTGTGGGGGGGCAGGGACGTGTGAGGGGGCGGGGACGTGTGGGGGGGTGGGGACGTATGGGGGGCGGGGACGTATGGGTGGGAGGTAGCTGTATGGGGGGCCTCATGGCAATTTTCGCACCTGGGCCCTGTGGTTGCCTCTGGGGATAACACTCATGGTACACAAAATCACCAGTGTCCACACTGGTTAGGGTTAAACTCTGTAAATCGGTAATCTTCAAAGTGACATTACAGAAACTAACCTTACACTTTAATAATTAGCATCATTATACATGACACTATTATAACACTTAGCAGTCAGTATTTTGACATTGATATTTTTAGTGGGAATTTATTCTGCAAAGGGAGAACAGCACACACATGTAGGTTACCAGCTGCATAAAACATTAACCCAACTCAGTCTATATTTGTTTTATATATCAACCTGGTCATTCCTGTGATGTAATAATTCCGCAAAATATCATTTTTATTTACATATGAGCAAATTCATAGCAGTTAAACAGAACCAACCAAATTTCCGAATAGTGAATTGAAGGAAAATTATTGAGGGGATTGTTCAGCTGTGCAAATTTTAAAATATGTCTGTCTGTTTTCTATTTAATGCAATTGGACATACATTTTAGAGACTGTTAAATAGTAACATAAAATATTATATTTTTACATTTTATTATCATTAGTCATTTTTTATTTATAAAGCTTCATCATATTCCTTAGAGCTGTATAATGGGCTAAACTTACCCTTTACTCAAATAATATAGGCACTATAAGATTATAATATTAACTATTTAATATTAACTAATTTAATGAAGAAAAAAAGCTCAAATATTTGCGTTCCATCATTTAGTTTGTAGCTGTCTATTTTTAACTTTTTTGGAGCATAAAAATAATTCTGCATACAAGGATTACTTTGCCGAAAAATATAAATGCATATTTTGCACAATGCACAGTTCTTTGTTTGGCTTTTATTCAGTTTATGCAGTCTTTTTCATTACAGACACCTTTAATGGCTGTACTTATTGTAAACACATTCCTAGGTCATGTCAGACAAATTAATTAATTACTATGAATTAAAAATAAGAAAAGTGTTTTTTTTTGGAGACAACTGAATACTTTTGGCTTCTATTTGTGTATATGTCTGACATACCTAGTTTATTAAAGATGATCCACACGATCAATAAATGGGATTTCTTTGGAAAAATTATAGTAATGAAACTTTGATTTTACAACAAAAGTCCATATATTTTTATTTTAATAATAATTAATAACTGCTATCCCCCCCAAAAATAGTTTCTGTGAAGCCTAGCCATTTGGTGATAGCATGTTCAATTTTTGCCTAATTTTACATAGTCATAAATTTCAATGCTTAACTTTGTCTGTATGGCTTTTTTGCCCCAGTTGTATCCTAATATTGTTCAATTATAATTTTTATATAAATATAAACAAATTTCCACAACAAAATAGTATATCCAAGAACCATTTATTAGAGTCACCGGATGACAATCACAGTCAATACCTGTATGGTATGTTTACATTAAGACCTTTCTTTCTAACAGGTAAAATATTTCCATTTAAGTCTCAATTTAATAGCAAATAAATGTTTTGGGGCATTTTTAACAATTTATTTTAACTACTTAGGTACCAGTGACATTCTATCACAATATCACAATCTGGTCCACAAAGACACTATATCGACCTGAAATGTCCAACTTATTTAGCATTGGCAGCTCAATAGAGTCCAGCTGGGACTAGCTGAATCGGTTATTACAAGTCAGCAGACAGCCATTGGTCCATAAGGGGTTGATATTATTACAGTAGCCGAGAATATGTAGCCTGTTTAGAAAGATGAATCTCAAACAACTCTGCACTGCTAATGCCAATATAAACTTTAACAAAGGTGAATCCATTGTACAGCGCTACGGAATTTGTTGGCGCTATATAAATAATAAAATAATAATAATAATAATCACAAAAAGGATATATCGACGTTACATTCTAATGGAAAACACCGATAGCGTAGAACATTCTTCATAGCATTAACTATAAGCCTTGATCTGCTTAATTAATGCATTCCATCAGAATTATTATTATCTAATTATTAGACAGTAAAATTAAGATACAGCCACATGTTCATATTATACCTATTATATCACTTAACAAAATATACAAACTATATATAATAATTCAGTACAAAGTTGTACTATGGAAAAGTCAGTTCAATATATGCGTATTTTTTCATATTAAGAGTTGAAGTATATGTTAATTACCAAGGAGGAACAAACTAACAAGGTTATTCATTTAAGTGAAAATTGTCAGAAATTCAAAGTGGATTCAAACTGATTTAGAGCCAAAATAGTTAAACTAGAGGCATTAACTGACTGTGATTTTTTTCCAATTCGACTTTTATTTTCGTTTAACATTTGAAATTCACATAAAAATTCACTTTGAATTCCTGACAATTCTCTCTTTAGTGAATGAATTACCCTGTAAATATTGCATTTACTGCTTTGCAGACAATATTGTTTAATATCATCGTACGTTAGCTAAAACCCTTAAACGCTTTTCTCCAGTTTATGATGGAAAGTAGTTGTCTATTCATTATACATTTATACATGCAACATGCAACATGTTGCCTGTCCCTTTTGTTCACCATAGGAACAGCCCATAAACAGTGCTTTAAAGGTAATAAAACTCAGACAATTTAGCCACAAAATCCAGAAAATATTTCTTTATTTTCTTTCACATCCTATTTTATCAGTTGTCAAGTAAATCATTGCAATTAATTTGCTAAAAAGAGTTATAAGTTAAGAAAAGCAAGTCGAAGACAATAAGTGATTTCCATAATGGCAATACTTTCAACAACAATCAGTGTAATAGCAATACAAACAAACATCTGTGTTTCAGAGCATTGTGAATTATCTATAGATTGTCTGCATTATTAATGGAAACGCATTAGCATATATGTTGTAGGACCCTGTACTGTACACAATGTCGATGTGATTTGTGCAATTAGTTCATTAATGAAAGTGTAATAATGCACAGGTTCCATCTCTGATGTAGCTGCTGCTCAGGACTGTAGCCCCTAGTAATCTCCGAAAGCACTGGAACATGCACGTCCCATTGCTACGCAGTACAGTCCTCCATATAACCTACACAACCCAAACTAAACATTAATCACTAGAACACACAGCACTAAGTATTAAGCCCCTACGCTATCACTAAACATTAACCCTTACTCTACACTATAGGTACGCATTAACCTCTACACTACACTGTAGCTAAATATTAACCCTAACAAGATCATTAAATATTCACTTTTACACTCCACTCACACTAAACACTTAACTCTACCTTAAAGGATTGCTCCAACCCACTGTAGTGGTTATGGTGGTAGGAGTAGCCTGGCGCCATTCCCCCTGAATTAGGCAAACTGTTTTACTATGGTCAACCCTGTTACCTGGGTCCCTGGTGGGCACTGCATCTCAGCTTAGGAATTCCCATTAGCCAGCTTGGAAGTGGAGTTACTCAACAAAGGGGTTAAACGTTTCATAGCAAAAAGCTGCACGTACTGACTTTAGATACCACAACCACTTTAAAACACTGAAGTGACTGAACTGATCATGGCGTTTGGAGTAATCCTTTAACACTTTTAACCATATCTAAAATATAATTCCATATAAAACATACATAACAGTGAACCACGTACTATTTGAAAATAATTTTGTCTCAGGGTTCTAAAGACATTCATAAAACATATGGATGAAAATCTACTGGTTTATACAAGTCTTCAGAACCCCTTAGTGGCATTATTTTCCCATAATACACAGTTCACCATATCTTCGATATATATCATTAAGATCTATTTATAGGTGTATGTATAAAAGTTGTCAAATGTATATCAATATGAATACATTAATATACATTTTGGAATATGTGTATACATGTGTATATGATACAAACAAGAATATAAAAAAATATAAAAGTAGATATAAGTGAAAAATACATGTGTACATGTATATATATATGTGTGTGTGTATATACATACCGCTGTACGCTTACATATTGATATGTGTACATACACTTATTCATGCTGTGAATTATTTCTCTATCTCCCCCTTTATACGCAGTCTCCCTTCACTAACTTTTTTTCTTTTTGTCACTCTCCCATCCTTGATTACTTAGGACCCTGTTGCAGAATAAAGTGTTTGTGGTTTTAACTTTTTGCTAGATAATTATGTCTGTCTTGTTGTTTTAGCCCATATATCACAATCCAGGTTCGAAATACGTATGTCTTTTTGTAAAGAAATGTTTTAGATTTGATAAATAGATGATTTCCTAAAAGATTGCCATTCTGAAATTCTGTACATTCAATAAAAGGGATATTATAATCTACTGCAATGTTCCATTATTTTGTATATTTATCACGGAATAATATACCTACTCAAAAACCTTTGCAACAAGTATTATGCATAAAAATCCAAGTAAATAGGAATCAAAGAAAGTGCATGGCAAAAAGAACGACAGAAAATGACATAATAAGCAGCAATAATATTAAAGCATTAAAGAATTTTAAGAAAATATAAACGGAAAGGCAAGTGTAAGGCAAAAACATTTAGGAAAAACCATTGAATAAAACAAAAAAGTGATAACACCAAGCACCATAGCTGGGTGAGATTTCGGTTTCAAATAGAATAAATAGAAATAGAAATTTGTTCTGAAATAAGGGTAAATTAGTATTCATACAACAGAATCAAATAACAAATAAAAGTAAAACATAACAAAAACCAAAAGCTAAGACATTAAAGGTAAAACAATAGAAATGGAAAATAATATATGAAAAATAGAACGACGGGAAGGAAATGTAAGAGTATTTATCCGGCATAGAAAGGAGGGTGTATATCAGAACAGTAATTAAGAGAGAACATAGGAAGACATAATGAACAAAAGACAGTAATACAATAGTGTGTGAGATGTTAGCTGAGAGTGGGATGGAGATATTAAAGGGAATAGAAAAAGAGGAAGATTGAAAAGGAAAGAGACACAAAAATAGGAAGAAAGTGGAAATATTAAATGAGTATAACAAATTATACTGTAAATTTTTTTACATACTGAGCAGCAAAAGAAACATAAGGAAATAGTCTAGTTAACAAGTGTACAATGGAATAAAACTAAAATAGAGAAAAATAGTTGAGAATTAAAATACGCGGATGATTACAAATACATCTTATGACTCGAAGAAAAATTCAGTGAAATAGGAGGCCAGGAAAGTTGGAATGCAAGACGTACCTACTGAGTCTTGGTGGTAGGAGGTGAGCTGGCTCACTGCTGTGTGTCAGTAATAGTGCCTCTGTTCTCGTATCTGAATGATGCTCTGTTCGCTGCCCTGATCACATCTCCCCATGCCTTTAAGGCGAAGCTTTTCTCAAACAAACTACATCTCATCCACAGCCCTCCTGATTGGCTGTCATAAATAGAGGGGGCGGAAATTAAGAGCGAAACGTACCTATTTCTGCCAACTGAACAAAAACACAAAATCCCAGATTCTCCAAGTTTTTTTTAAAGGCCGTTTAAAATCAGTTTGCTGATCCGGCAGCCAAAGGGTTAATCTTCAAAAAAACACAACGTTATACATATCTGTTATTTTAAAAGTATTTGTGTCTAAACTGCAAACAAATACATATGATCTGAATTCTTGTACTTCCTTCATCAGCTAGTCCGCACTCATATTATACAGAAACCTCTCTCTTCAATTTATGCATGCTCAACTCACCTGAGTTAGTACACTGCATGCTGTGTTATTTCACTATCACTGTGGTTTCTCAACTAATGAATGATTGCTCGCCCAAACAGAAATATAACCCATACACAACACAGCCCGTGCACTCAACTCCCACTACTAATCCACAGTTTGAGAATTGACCAACACAGCATCTCATTCATTCACTTTTAATCCAGATCTGAATCTGTTATTCATTAATCCTCTGATTTACACTCTGGTATGGCTCAAAAGTCCTGTAATACGCACACTTCCAATAATACGCAACAGTATGCAAAGATACACACCTGTCCACTTAAATCCATTTAAATCTTCACTTTGCTGCATCAATATTATACTATGGCTACCCAGAGAGGCTTTTTAACACATTTATGTTTTTTTAAAAGCTGATGTTTAATTTCACAAAATCTTGCATAATCTTGAGCCAACATTATCCTTACTATTTCTATTTTATCAGCTTAGAGTACTTACCTGCCAATCTCTTTGTTCTTAACCTTGAATCTCTGCACATTATTATTTAACGAACCTATTCCTCCCACATTTTGGTCCCACCTATTTTTGTTACAAGCTAAGTAGATCCGTCTCTCACCACCATTAGCGACTTATTGACGTGCACAAATTTAGTGCATTAACCAAAGAAAAACTAAATTTTAGGCTAGTTCTGGTTGCCAACAAGCGTTCCAGTGGCTCCTGTATTTATTTAAAGACTTTGGCTGAAGTAGAAGCATCCTTCAAAAGCTGCCTTCTCTGTACCCTATCCTTTCACTGTTCTGAGTGCAGGCCACTTGCTAATGCATTTCAGCATGGCATTACCAATCTCGTGCGCTGCTTTTGGTTCGTTCTGATTGGACAGAGCTGTATACGCCATGATAGCTGTTACAAAATGATGAGACTATATAGGTATTTTTTAGGAAGAGACGATTGACAGACAAAGCCATGAATACCCTCAGGGTCTCATGTTCTTAACTGAGTAACTGCTGAAACACACTGAGCAATTGTTAGGAGACAAAAAGCCTTGTAACCGGTTACTGTCTTCCCAGGGGAGAAACAATATAAAATCGCCTTTTACAGACATAAACACTTTAATTGCTTCAAACGATCAGTGTGCCACAGAACAGGCTCAGAGGGAGAGTGCTAAACCAGAATATTGTGTATTGTGTAAAAAAAAGAGAGAGAGCTAGACAGACAGACAAAGAATATAAAACATTTTAGATTAAGAGTGTCTTCTAAATTATGAGATACATTTCTTACTAGTGGTTCAAATCAAACATTCTGCTGCATATTGCCAATGAAAGAGAGAACATGATATATGTTATTAGCTTTTGGATGACACTTCACAAACAGAACTCTTGGGTATAATTAAGTATTCACTCTTCTAATGAGAGATGCTGATCTCTTAGTGACATCTCTTAGGGTCAGAGACATTTATGCAGTGAATGAGATTTCCTACCTTTGGCAGAGTTAGATAAAAAGATCACACAGTCTCTCTGTTAGCAAGTTGTATATAAAACCTTACTGTGCATCTTAACATAAGGAGAAACAATAGTTTGTATTGAGGTGGGACTTGTTAATTAACCTGGCTGAGAAGTAATGTTGCTTTCTGAGTGCTTATATCAGTACTTTCTTTTTATTACCTACCTTGATACTCTGTAGGACCACTGGTCATGTTAGAGTGTACTCATTGATCTGGGAGGGAGTGCCACTAGTTAAGTGACTTGGCAAGCAGTGAACGCTATCTCACTGGGTTTGCTGCGTCCAGGATGAGAAAGTTAAATGACTGGTTTTGTTTGAAGATTCTAAATCTCTGTGAATTGGATCTTAAGATGCTATGTAGTGATCTTCACCCCTCTGGTACCTGAGCATTTTCCCTTCCCCCCTCCAGAGACAACGCAGGCTTTTGTCCTGAGGGCAGGCCGCTTGCATATAGACCTTCCATTGTCCTGCCTTATTGGCGTAGCCTGGCTAGGCCTAAAGCCTTCACAATGAAATCTTACATACAGTAAAAGGGGACATTAAAAAAACTCTCCACAATAACTCTTGTGTTTAAAAAAAAGGAGCAATGAAAGTTTGATAAGGGATACAGATCCCCCCCCCTTTCTCCCCTCCCTCCCCGGGATTGAAAACACTGAATATCTTTCTAGGCCTGGCTCATGGATCTTTTTTTTCTTGATTTTCGGCTTGTCTTTGTGTGTACGCTCTTTGTTCGTTCCAGGTGAACCGAAATCATGTGATATGAAAGGGGGACAGAGCTGGTTATTATAAAGGGTTTTCGGGCTTCGCCGAAGGCTGTCAGAGAAGAGATGCAAGCTTAGGGGAAGCATAACCATCTGCCTGCAGGGCCAGATTTCCTGCCCTATCCTGATCACCTATATGTATATATGGAACAATCTTTTATCGGAAGGTCCATTGGCCCATTCATGCCTGGTGTTCATCTTACAGGCAGACAATTCTAGGCACATCTGGAGATCTTGTATACCTTAAAAGAATATTCCTGGAACTTTCCTGACTTATTTAATGGATTTTATCTAGTGAACAACGAAGGAAGACCCTTTTACTCAATGAAGATGCTGGTAGAAAGATGGATTCCCTATAACTTGGATATTGTGGGATATTTTATGAATACCGCTAAGTGATGTTTATGGATGTATTCTGTGTTGTACTAATGACTATAACCAAAAAATATAGGATGGTCTAAGTTGACACTTTTATATTTCTGTTTTTCCTGGAGATTGCTGTGGCTGAGACAGGTGAATTCATTTCTTCCATTTCTACGGTCCTGAGCGAGTGGGGGGAGATGGGGGAGGGGCTGTGGGTTTGATCCTTGTGTCTGACCATAATTCAAACGTGTCGGTCCTCTATGCAGGCTATGGGAAATGAGTCCTGTAGTCTACACCACTCAGGTCACCAACATGGGAGGAGTTTGAGAAGCATTATCATAAGCATTGTATATAACATGCAAACTTATGCAGCCATATTAAATCCATATTCCTGTAAGTATAGCTATGCAGAAAATATGTATCAGATGGGCACACTGTTTGAAATGTAGATTAGTATTATGATTTAAACTATTTAATATATATTCAAATGCATTCATGTATAGATAAATATACATAAAATGTAAAAAAATAATAAAGCATTTTGATAACTGTATACATACAGATTCATTACATTGACATATTGTTAAAAAATATATATTTATATAAATATATATATATAGCAAAAAAAATGCAAAAATACACATGCATATATTTATTTATAGGACATGGGGACTGGCATTTAATAATGACAGTGAAATTTGCTCCACTGCTGTTTAGCAGAAACAAATAATTGTAGGTAGCAGTGGAAACATTGCTGTGTTGATGAAAAGTTAGTAGATCGATATTAAATTCAGTTTTTTTATCTAGATTTATATTATCCAGGCTTGGCAGAACAGGTCCTCCCATCCTGACTAGTATCCACCTGATCTAACCTTGAACGTTCTGTGTATGAACTCTTAAAGCTACAGAGCACAGAGGCTTTCTTATTATTAGGGGGAAAATAGTCTCATGTTTATATGACATTTTGGAAAGGGGCAAATTGCCACACATTGTTTCGATCAATGTAAATATCAATGCTATAGGTTAGAGTTATTTCTTTTTTGACCTGTTTGCACTAGGTCCAATGTGGACAAATGAAAACTGTATTACATTATGCTGCGTGCATTTCTACTTAATCCCCTGTTTGTCATGGTAAACTCATTGAAAGGAACTTTACATTAATAGATGTTGCCTATGGGCCATAGTATGGTGTTTTACAACCATGGCATGCTTTTTAAGTCATAATCTTTACGATCCAAAACCACATTTTACTGTTCAGTACTCAGATTCTTTTTGTTTCCAGCCCCTTTTAGCCTTGAGACTGTCATGTATTTTTATGTGTATAATTTATTTATCAATGTTTTACAATCAATAACTCAATATGTATTTTTTATCTATCTATCTATCTATCTATCTATCTGTCTGTGTGAATTGTAACCACTTTACATAGCGTGGGCTTTTCTCCTATAACATCGCACTGCCATTTAGAGTCTTTAATGCAATAAGTACTCCTTTATTTTCAAGTTTACAAACATCATAACTTGATTATTATCAATATTATTATAATTTACATGTATTTAATGATAATATTTGTCAGGTTTGTTTCTATTTACAAGTTAAATTGATTCACAATCAGACAGGATGTTTTGCTAAACTAAAAATTGTAGCAAATTAAGATCCGAATATGACATCTAACTAATCCGGAAACACTCTCCACACTAGCCATAATCACAGCATGGCTATTTGAGCCTGCATTTTACCATTTGGATTCCAATTGGCCAACCTTATGTTATTACACAAAGAGACACTCCTGTACCTGCCACACTCCCCACACAACTACATTACATGTCTAATGGTGATATGCCTGTGGTTAGGTGTCTAAAGTCACACAGACCTCAGAATTGTGTTTAGTGTTAGTAATCCATAGCTACCAGGTGTAAAAATATACAATGTTAGTGTCAGCTCTGGATTTTTCACAACTATGCTCTTAATGTTGTACTGCATTTTTTCACCAAGTGTGTAGGATCATTCATTAAGTGTGTAAAAGACAGGGGTATACCACATTTTAAAGTCGTCAGAACATGGTATCTAGTACTGCTGACGATGTAATTGACTTCGCACGTACACTCGTTGTATGTTGCAAGTGTTCTCACCATTCCTAGGAACTGTACTTCTCCCTCACCTTCATTACCTGTACGTTGATGCATTTTCTGTACTTGCTAATGTTCTTCTCAATAACCTTGAATAAAAACAAAACAAAAAAAAACAACACATTTTAGGCCTAAATAGCCAATGTGAATTATAACTGGCTCAGAGATTTTTTTTTCTTTCTTCTAATTTTGTTATTGTGGATTAAAACTTGCAACTCCCGTGCCAATTTTTCTAAAGTTTTGGTTTTGTGAAAAAAATGCATTGTTAGTCATTGAGAGCCAAGAAATGGAGATTCCATCTACAGACGGGATAGGGTTCTATGTAGTGAGGTCAAAAGGCCAAGCTGAAATTCAAAGATGACATTTAACATCATCTGTAAACCCTTTTATATTTAATGTGGACATTATTAATAATACCTTGTTAATTCAGAGAGAAATCTGCTGGTCTTTTGTAGTTAATAAGATTGCTTACCTTTTGGAAGTACAATTGGAAAGCAGTTTGTTCTGAGATTTGACTTTTTATTGATTTTCAGCAGAACCAGGTTTAGGAAAAATATTGAACTATTGTCAACAAAAAAATACTAGTCAGTCCAATAAATAATGTCTGTGTCACCTTGAAGGGTGACAGATCTAAACATTATAATATTCCATGGCTATTACTTTGGAGAGAAATATTATATAGCCCTCTCTAACTGCTTTATTCATGCAGAATTCAGATAGGATTGTTGGATCTCCACAAACTTGTTGATTGCAAGTTCTTTAGCATGTAGGAGAGAGGTTGCAAGCACTCAAGTTTGTACGATTCACGTGTTCCCAGTGTAAAATAATTTGTTAATCCCAAATGTTGCTGCTGATTTGTGGTTGTGATTAGTTAACCAGTTTCATATACTGATGGGTAGCATCTTCAAACCTTGACCAATTGAATGCAGAACTCATCACTTAAAAAATGGTAATCTAACAAGCCTTATCAAATTCTGTGTGATATGCTTTTAAATTAACCCTTACAAGTAAACAAAAGGACTTCATGTGCGTTCCAGTGTGTAGGCATGTCAACTCGTTGATGCACAAGCATGAGCAATAGGCACTGTGATCCAGTTCATTAAATGGATTGCTGGTCTTGTAGAAAGGGCTGTGACATTTTGCTGTGGCAAACATCTGCCAGAACATAAATTACACTCTGCTTTACTGATTTCAAGGAGTAGCAAGCATAGATGTATGGGCATAGTGCAAAGGAGATATGAAAAAGGGTCTCTACCCTAGACTACAGAGACTACCTACCTAATGAAAGTAGAATGTTCTTGCACAGTCTAAAAAAATATAAAAAAGTTGGCACTTAATGGTATCGAGATAACCATAAAAAAATTAACCAATTAAACTCTAATTAAATTATATTTAAATATATGATAACGTACTCACTCATGTATTACCAAAATATAACTTGTTAGCTGCACAAAAAATAATTTTGTTTTTATTGCACAGGATTTTTTTTTTTAAATCTCCCACCAGAGATATGCCTAAATGCAGTGTGCTAGCAATAAAATAAGTGTCTACAAGTGCCACTGCTTATCCAGTGATCCTAATGTGATACAAGATATTGTGTTTAACGCACTTACGACTTGATGCAATTTGTGCTTTTTCTTATAATATCAGTACAGCAACGTTTAGGTGATTTACCATATTGTCAGCCAAACATATGTCAGCTGACAATCTTAACTTTTTTTTTCCATTCCGTAAAGTTTTTTGTTGCATTTCTCAGCGTGTACACAATAACTGGTGTATAAAATAATCCAAACAAGGCAATTTTTCTAATTTTTATTAATTTTTCTTTTTTATATATTTTTAATACTTTTTTCTCATTTTATTTCTTTTTTTTCCCTGCTGATACTGGTATATGTACTGCTGTGAGGCACATTGTAGCAATCAAAGGACATTTTTGAAGAGCAGTTTCTTCTTGAAGTTTGGGAACATATTCCTTGAGGAATATAGAGTCATTCAAATCAGATTTGGAGGAACTCCACACAATAAAACAATACATAACACAATATTTCACAATTGTATTAATTATTTCTGAGGAATGTTGATGCATGTAATATACAAAAGATAAAGAGGCTAATTTATAGCTGGTTTTCTGTGATATCTGTATGCATTTACATTTGTTTAAATTGTCTTTAGGATCACTGGATAAGCTGTGACACCAATAGACACTTATGTTATTGCTATCACCCTGTATTTAAGCACATCTCCAGTAAGAGAATTTAAAAAAATATATATATTTTTTTTTTCTGTGCAGTGAAACCAGAATGCTTTTTATGCATCCAACTAATTATACAACGGATTTTTAATATCATGTTTACTTATATTTAATAAAAAATTATTTGCAAGGTGTGAAAAATAAAATTGATGTAGAAATCCACAACTCTTTATCGTGCAATTGGGCGCCTCCATTTTAGCCTCCTGTCAATCGTTGTTACAAACTGTGTCCTTTGCAACAATGTCTCTCTTTCTCCTTTTTATTTGCAATGTTTGCCCTGGTATTGCCTTGTCTGAACTGGTTTATGGTGCCAAAATGCTAAACCTTTAATTTAAATAAATAAATAAAAAAGCAAAAAATAATCTGATGAAAAAAAGATCAACATGAATTATAGATGGTTTTCAATATTTTATTCACTGGAATAAATTCCAAATTGTTACCCATTAAGTCACAATTTTTGCATGAAACATAGTGTCCTAAGTAAACAGACATGTACATTCTATACAGACTGGGAGTGTGTATAGTGATGTCCTAGTTAGCTGTTCAAACATCTTCTGTATTTCTGCTGAGATCAAATCTATTGATACTGATACTGTTGCACTTGATTACCATAATTCATATAGTCTGTAAGTAACCACAGGCTATACAATACCCGTGAAAAAAAAACAACTCTGCGAATTGAATGGTCTTGCTTGGAATTAGTTATCAGTTTCTCATACACATGTTGCTGGTTTTCAACATTTGCTAAACACATGACACGTGGAAGTAGTTAGTGCTGGGACAGAAGCACCTGCTAAACATCTGGTGCTAGTTATGTAGCAGCATATCTGGTATTAGTTAAATTTGCTAGCACCTGCTACACATATGGAAATAATTATGGCTTCCATGGTGACCCCAATATGATTTACAAGTGATTGTTTAAGAAAAAACTTTTTGGCCGGGTCAAAAGGGTGCAAAAACGGGCCAGTCAGTATACAGCAAAATATTAGACTTGTTCATTAATGCTTTTCAGATGGTGTGAACAATTCTAATTACTTTTAATTTATGCAGGAACCAATCTACAGGGATCACAGGTAAAGGCCGGATGGATTGATTTTTTTCAGGAGTAGATTAAAAGTAATTTGATTCATTCAAACTGGCTAAAATATATTAATGTGCCAGTCTACAAAATACATACATTGTATAAATATTAGGTAGGTACTTTGCAGTACACTGACAGGTGCATTTTCCCATTATTTGTCACACAGATCAAGTGAGTTGACGTAACCAAATGAGGGGTAAAAAGGAGAAGCAGCAAAAAAAATCTATTTCTATATATATATATATATATATATATAGAGAGAGAGAGAGAGAGAGAGAGAGAGTTTTTACTGCTTTTTAACATTTAGTGGTTGTGCAATAGCCATCAGTCATCTTTTTTCCCATCAATCTTCTCTTTTTTTTTGTTTTTGCAGTGTGGGCTGTGCTTTAGCTAGAAAATTTTAGAAAAAAATCTGTTAGTGCCTTGGTAATTGTATTTTCAGTTGAAAAACTACTTGATTTCCAGAACTACCATGGGTTACCTGGACTGATTCACACTGTAAGGCAGCACATGAAAAGTGCTTCTCAGCTGCATGGAGAATTGATCTGCTGCAGGATTCCTTAATAATTAATGATCTGATATCCACCTGCAACATTTAAATACTACAAAGTGTAGGGTAGCACTTTTCATGCATTGCTCATTAATAAGTATCAATGAGACGGGTTAAGGAAAACATGTTGGATCTGTCACCTCTATGTGAATACCATCAATTGTGTCAAGAATGCCTGTCATCTTATTGTTTCGTACTCTTGGATGGCAAAACAATATATATATATATACACACACACACACACACACACACACACACACTTTTTATAACTATTGTCCATGTTAAGGCTATTAAGGGAAAAGTTTTGTCGGATTTATAAATTTTCTTGGAATTCACAATAGCAGTGGAATTTAAAACTACTTGTTAGTACAAGTGTATGAACACAAAAGGGCAAAGTGATTTCATAAGACTTAATCACAACTTATTAAGCTTGTTTTCTTTCCATCTCTTAAACATGAGATAAGTAAATGAAAAGACTGAAAAAATATAAAAGGTCATGTAGAATCAGATAGAATTCTATGCGTTACCCTATATTTGAAAACGTGATCACTCAAACACTGCCAGTCTTTTATTTCAAGGAATTTGAGTTTCAGTCATTCCAACGCTTTCAACTCATAACCCATTCCAAATTCCAGAAAATACAGCAAACGCTATTAATGCGACAGCCCTGCTATGTTTTGCAACCAGATAAGATTGTAAATGATTTAATTCTTGCAGGCCGAAAGGGTTAACAGAGATAATTTCTAGCTCAGTAATTCTGTAGGAAGCAAGGCAGAACAAGGGAACCATTCTCCCAGCAATGAATTCATAGCAGACTCATCTCTTGTGTCACCCATCCTGATCTGATCTCCCTGGAATACTCTGGACCCTTCAGAGCCTGGGGCAAGATGTTGAGCCATTTTGGTTATTACAGAAAGGAGGGTGAGGGGGAGTGAAGGATTGTAGGATAGGGGAAAGGGAGGGTTGAGCTGAGGAATGCATGTGAGCATTGCACAGCTGTGTCCCCAAAGTCTTTGTTTACATGGAAGAAATGGATTTGGAATTAACAAAACGACTTAATGAACAAGTGGTGATTTTTAGCAGTCAGGGTCTGTGGTGGGTGCGACTAGTATTACCATATCACCATTTTCAGCAGGAATCCTTATACAAAAAATATATACTTTGTAATCTGGTAAAATGGGAATTTTACACTTTACATTGCAGAATTAATTTACCCAATGCAGGACTAAGGTCTTTGTTGTTTATAAAGTTTTTGTCTTGTAAGTGAAATCAGGGTTGCCATAATTAAAACATGTTGCTTCTTTATGTTTATATACAGCACATGAAAAAAGTGCCTCCCTCAAATACATTAGACATTTTTGGATTTTTTGTTGAATAATGAGTTGAATTTATATACTAAAAGGCAGCCTTAGGCACTGTCTATCAATACGTATACAAGATATGTGTCCAGGAAAACTTGGTCAATCTGGAATCCCTCATTTTTCTTATGATTGCCACATTCAGAAACACTCATAACCAACAAAAGTCTTATTGTAATTCACTATATTTTGAAAAGTGCTTCTCTCAAGCAGCTAAAATTGCAATATAGACGGAGGGAATTTAAGTCAGTAATCAATAAGGAATCATGCATTATAGGAATTCTTCAGGGAATCACTTTTCATGTACTGCCTGTCATAATGAAGACGTTCTGTCTAGACCAATAAGGCAGACCTGTCAATCCTAGTTGCAGGATGAAGATCTTCATGGTCAACTGACTTAATTGGTTAAATGGAAGTGTGAATTGCAGAAATTCTAAGAGAATTTCAGATTTCAGATTGAAATCTTCAAGTCAGCTATGTTTTCACAATGTCTATTTTGGCTCAAATTGTGGAACTCTCAACAGTGAGAGTGAACCACAAATATGCATCTGAATGGCCATGCTAATTATAAACCAATTTTATCTAACCGTTCAGTGTTAACTAGTCCGTGTAACCATTTTTAAATGTGCATATGATTTTTTTTCCGTCAATTCGGAACTTCGGCACTTCGGGAACTTCGGCACTTCGGATCTTAGACACTTCAGAATTTCGGCACTTCGGTAACTTTGGCAACTTCGGAAATCCGGCATTTCGGGACTTTTCTTGCAGCCGCTTTCTAGATAACTCCCTAATTCCCACGGTATTAGGAAGTTATCTACCAAAAGACTGAAAGACCTAAATTGGTCTTTCAGCCAAATTTACTAATACTAAGTAAAAATTACTTAGTATTAGTAAATTGTGCCCTTACTCGCTATACCGCGAGTAGGGGCATGTCTAGTAAACAGTGAGCAGCCTGTGGGTCCCCCTCCCTGAGCGGTGAGTGGGGGCCCTAAAGTAAAAAAAGGGGGGGAGGACCTAATGTCCTCCCCCCTGGCCCCCACCCCTGAGCGGTGGGTGGGGGCCCTAAATACAAATTGGGGGGACTTATTGTCCTCCCCACTGGCCCCCACCCCTGACCTACCTATTGTCCTCCCCCCTGGCCCCCACCCCTGAGCGGTGGGTGGGTGCCCTAAATACAAATTGGGGGGGACCTAATGTCCTCCCCCTGGCCCCCACCCCTGAGCGGTGGGTGGGGGCCCTAAAGAAGAATAAGAGGGGGGACCTAATGTCCTCCCCCCTGGCCCCCACCCCTGAGCAGTGGGTGGGGGCCCTACGTGGAAATTTAACCCCCCCAGGTGACTAGGGGTCTCCAAACCCCTAGTCACTCCCTCCCCATAAAAATAAACCCCTACCTACCCCCCACCCCACACTAAAAATAATGAGGGGGGACCTTTAACTAAGTACCTGTAAAAATAAACATAAACTTACCATTTGATGTTTTCTTTCTTCTAAAATATTCTTTTTTCAGCCCCAAAAAAGGCCAAATAAAAATCCATAATAACGACGCAATAAAAAAAAAAAAGGTTTAAGCTATCCAATCAGAGTGCTCTGACAGGTAAATGAAGAGACTGACAGGTAAGTCTCTACATTTACCTGTCACAGCACTCTGATTGGTTGGTTTGAAATCCACCAATCAGAGTGTTCTGTGTCATTTTACACAGCATGGGAAAGTTCTTTGGAATTTTCCCACGCTGTGTAATTTGACTCATAACTCTTTGATTGGTTACTTAATCCACCAATCAGAGAGTTATGAGTCAAATTACACAGCGTGGGAAAATTCCAAAGAACTTTCCCACGCTGTGTAAAATGACACAGAGCACTCTGATTGGTGGATTTCAAACCAACTAATCAGAGTGCTGTGACAGGTAACTGTAGAGACTTACCTGTCAGTCTCTTCATTTTACCTGTCAGAGCACTCTAGATGGCTTAAACCCACCAATCAGAGTGCTCTGAGCCTAATTGCCCTCGCCGGGTGAAGATGGATTATTTTTTGGGGGGCTCAGTTTTTTTTTATTTTTTTTAATTGCGTCGGTTATTATGGATTTTTATTTGGCCTTTTTTGGGGCTGAAAAAAGAAGATTTTAGAAGAAAGAAAACATCAAATAGTAACTTTATTTTTACAGGTACTTAGTTAAAGGTCCCCCCTTCATTATTTTTAGGGTGAGGGGGTTAGGTAGTTTATTTTTGGGGGCAGGGGGCGACTAGGGGTTTGGGGACCCCTAGTCACCTGGTGGAGAGGGGGGCTAAATATGTATTTAAGGCCCCCACCGCCGCTCATGGGTGGGGGCCAGGGGGGAGGACATTAGGTCCCCCCCCCCAATTTGTATTTAGGTCCCCACCCACCACTCAGGGGTGGGGGCCAGGGTGAGGACATTAGGTCCTCCCCCTTATTCTAGTTTAGGGCCCCCACCCACCGCTCAGGGGTGGGGGCCAGGGGGGAGGACATTAGGTTCCCCCCCTTATTCTAGTTTAGGGCCCCCACCCACCGCTCAGGGCTGCTCACTGTTTAATAGACATGCCCCTACTCGCGGTTTAGCGAGTAGGGGCATAATTTACTAATACTAAGTAATCTTTACTTAGTATTAGTAAATTTGGCGGAAAGACCAATTTAGGTCTTTCAGCCTTTTAGTAGATAGCGCCCTAATACCGTGGGAATTAGGGAGTTATCTACTTATTCATTCCTGTCATTACCTGACTGGCTAAGTAACTTACATTTTATATGAATGTATGTTGCTTGATTGTTGTAAGTGTTGCAAATGTTTACAGCTGAATCCTGTCTATGTTTGTATACTTTTTATTTGAAATTGTATACAGTGTAACATTCTTCTTCTTTCACTGGGTAAGTATATTAGTACTTAGGCAATACTATGCTTCGGAACTTCGGCACTTCGGCACTACTACACTAAGGAAATTTGGTAATTTCGGCAATTCGGCAATTCAGCTATTCAGACATTCGGAATTACCCAAATGTCCGAATTACCCGAAATTCGGACGAATTTTAATTCGGACCGAAACGAATTGCACATGTCTAATTTTTTTGAAACCGCAGAAGAATAGTACAAGATCCAGGGCCAAAGGAAGCTATTACCGAATATTGATGATCTGGTGACATTTTGCTCACGTTTTACCCTGTCTTATGTCTTATTTTTGTTTTCTGTTTTCCATAACTGGAGGTTGGTGCCCTTTTATTAAAAAAAAAATATACATATTTATTAAAGAGAAAAAAAATTGTGATATGACACTAAAATAAATCTTCAATATAAAAAAGTACAGCGCACAGGTGCATTAAATTGGTAAATGACAGTGGATTCAAAGGAATTTGACCGGTTTAGAGATGTCTCCAACATTAACCACACACTAATTGGTTGGTTTGTGTAGTTAAAGGGACACTAGAGTCACCAGAACAACTATAGCTTATTGTATTTGTTCTGGTGACTATAATCACTCCCTTCAGTCTTTTCAGAGAAAATGCACTGTTTACATAACATGTTAGGGATACCTCCAGTGGCCACTCCTCACTTGGCTACTAGAGGTGCTTCCTGGGGCAGTGCTGCACACTGTGTAGCACTGCCATCCAGTGTCTCCACCTTCTGCATGGAGACACAGAACTTCCCTAAGAGAGATGAATTGATGCAATACATTTCTATGATTAGCCAGGGCTGTGTTTGGCCTGTGCTGTTTTTTTCCTCTGATATGCCTTCTTGACACTTCTGATTATGTCAGCCAAGCAGGCAGATCAGGGGCAGAGCCAGCAGCAGCAGACTGAAATAAAGGTAAGATGTTGCTATGTTTAGGGTGCAAGGGGGAAGGGAGAAGGGGAGGAGGGGGTAGATGTTATTTTTAACACTAGAGGGCAGTAATACATGTTTGTGTTCTTAACCCTATAGTGTTCCTTTAATATTTGGTCCCTTAATTGCAGAGTTTGATGTCTTATTACTGATTTGTGGTTTTGCTTATGTCACAGTGTGGACTCTTCTGTAGTGTTTAAAGTCTTTATCCTTATTGTTGATTTATTTATATATTTGCTTCACTTTTGTTGTGTCTCTTTATAGAATTTTAGGTATATGTCCTGATTGGTTGGTTTGTTTGTTTTCATTAAGTTCTTTTTTTGTGCCTCTCTTGCAGAGTTTTAGTTCTTTGTTCAATCTGGTTTGTTTTTGTTTTTATACCTCTTGTCTCACGTGTACGTGTTTGTGTACAACATCTAGAATCACATTTAGGACATTTGACACTTGACATACAATGCCTAGCAGTGGCAGAGACAGAATCACCTTTACTCAACCTGTCAAAATGCTGTGCTGTGAAAGTTCCTGCAGAAAGAGTTGCACTGCTCAGTTTGTTGTTAAATTCCTAAGATACCCTGTGGCATTAAGATCCAATACTACTAACCCCATCTGCACAAAAGAGCATACTGTTTGTTCCATTTAGGGCTAACCTATGACTGCAGTAATGCTAGGCTTTATTTCTCAAATTAGTCAAGTTGGTGGAGCATTAAAGATTGTAGTCCACTGCCCAAGTTCTGTAGTACAACTGATTAAAGGGTCACCGTCATTATAGTCACTAAAAATTTTTTTATCCTAATGAAGCAGCAGTGGCGGCTCTAGACTTTGTGAGGACTTAGGCGAAACTCAAACATGAGGCCCCCACTAACACCCTAAGTGGGGAAAAAATGAGGGTTGCATTGTGTGTATAAGGTGCTGTAGTTGTATTGAAGGACAAGCTTGCAGCGCTGCATACAGAGAGCTAGTCTCTGTATTCATTGTTCTGACACTTGCAGTATCGCGACTCCCTGTGCCGCTATGTTATGAGCTCTACGATTGTAGTTATGGCATAATTTGCAAACTAAATTAATTTGCAATAAACAAATTTAATTAGCAATTATGCTAATCATTTATAAACGACTGCGGGGTATGGATTCCATAGCCTTGCAGTCGTGTATACATTAGTGCCGGTGTGTGTATTTCTGAGTGTTTCTGGCATTTCTTACCTGTGTATGTGCATGAAATGTGTGGCTGACCGAGAGTATCCTTGTGTGTGATCATGCCCCTGCAGTCTCACTGCTCAATTCACTGTCATTTAGGAGTTAAATCACTTTTAGTTTCTGTTTATTCAGCCCTAACCACACGTCATTATGAGCATGTATCTGGAACCGTATGTGTGTGGGGTAGCTGCTTGCTGGGAGTTGTGTTTATGGGGGCTCCCTGTGACTTTTGTGCATATGTGGATGTCTTCAGTTTTGGGGCTGTGACAGGGTGTGAGCGTGTGGGTGGCTGTTGGATGACAGGATGGGGGGGCTGTGATAAGTTGGCGGGGCTGTGACAGGTTGGGTGGGCTGTGATAGGTTGGCGGGGCTGTGACAGGTTGGGAGGTCAGAGGGTGGTGGTCTGTAAGAGGGTGAGAAGGGGCTATAAGAGGGTGTGGGGACTGTGACAGGGTAGGGGGGTTGTGACAAGATGTTTGGGGCTGTGACATGGTAGGGGGGCTCTAACAGGGTAGGGTGGCTGTGAAAGGGTAAGGGTACTGGAGGGATTGTGACATGGTGGGGGGCTTGAAGGGCTGTGATAGTGGGTGGAGGGGGTAGAGTGGCTGTGACATGGGGTAGAGGGTGTTTATAAATACTTTAAAAAAACATTTTTATTAGGATGATATCCCCAGTGCTCCGGTTCTCCAGTTCTCTGCGTGGTAAGTTTCGCAATCTCCGGTCAGTGTTGTCGTGGTAACCCACGGCAACGGTCTGATTGGCTGGAGATCGCGAGACAGTTCAGTCTGCAGCTCTGCAGTCTGCAGCTCTGCTGGGAGGCTCTCGATCAGGGCAGACTAAATGGAGGGGCCCCGCACCCGGCTGCCGGGCCCCCTCCTGTGTCGGTCCTCGTTCATAGACCGAAGACCCAACATGTCAGTCTACCCTGAGGCAAATTAAGTGTGTCTGCAAGGCTCCAGCCAGCGCAAGGCCTTAGACGGCCGCCTAAATCGCCTAATTAGAGAGTCGCCTCTGTAGCAGGTTTGGTGTATAGATAATGCCCCTGCAGTCTCACAGCTCAATTCACTGTCATTTAGGAGTTAAATCACGTTTGTTTCTGTTTATGCAGCCCTACACACACCTCCCTTGGCTGTGACTCACACATCATGCCTGGAAAAAAATGGTTTCATTTTCAATCAGGGGTTAACTTGTTTTAGAAGTTTTTATCTTCTGTTCTGTAAATTGAACCTTACAAGGGTAGTAACAGAGCAGGAGATATGAAATTCTAAATTCTAAATTCTAACAGAGTAATGAAATAAAGGAAGTTCAAACATTAGATCTCTCTTTACAGGAAGTGTTTGGGAAGGCTGTGCAAGTTACGTGCAAAGAGGCGTAAGTAGGGCTGCATAAACAAAGTGATTTAACTCCTAAATGGCAGAAAATTGAATAGTGAGATTGCAGGGGCATGATCTATATACCAAAACTGCTTCATTAAACTAAAGTTGTTTTGGTGCATAGAGTGTCCCTTTAACTATCACTGTCTAAGGCATTCATGCCTTTCCTCGAAACATAAAATAATATTTAAAAATGCACTATGCATTTAAAATATTTCCCATATGTGATGATTTATAATCATCTACATTACTTTTTTTTTAATAATATCATTTCTTTCTTGTTTGTTGCTTTCATTGATTCCTGTTCTCCCCTCTGGTATGTCTGTTTGGAGTCTGTATATGCCTTTGGTAGGGTGTTAGTAAACTCTAGGATGTTAATTAGGTTTAATCCAAATTTGTAAATCACATTACATAAACGCTGAAATTTCTAAACAAATACTCTCTTTTAAAAAAAACAATGAATTCTTATTCAAATATGTTTCTTTAAAAAATCGGTGTATTATTTAAATGTACACAAACCAATCAATAATAGATACAGCTTTACATTCTAAAGGAGAAATATACATGCAATAATGTAATACTATTATAGAGTATAGCTTTAATGAACTTGAACCTTGAATGCACATTTACAATTGCAAAGTAATTTTGAGGGCTACAAAAAGTGCAAATTTATAATCTAACCTTGTTAAGCCCGCACTGGCTGTTAATAAGAAAATTGGGCCTGTTACTTCCTGGTTAGGTGGGCAATTGTTCAGAGTACCTACCTTGCAAAGACCTCTCATTGAGCTGCATTGGGAAGTCAGTGATTGGACAGCCACAGAAAGTGTGGGTTGGGGAAGAAGATGAGGGCTTGCAGACAAGAAAACTATTGCTTTTGCAAGCTGTTTTTAGATATAACCCCAATGAAAGAAAATGCATAATTAGTTGAATGTATGTTTTCATTGAGGGTATATCAACTAAACAGTGATTATTACAGTTAATTATCTTTTTTATTGGGCAGTGGAGTGCCTCTTTAATAATGACTTCAAATATTTTTATGCATGGAATAGCATCCAAACACATCATTATCCAAAGCAGGAGAATACAATGATCATGTGCCTAACTTGTGTAAGAATTTTTTTGACACTGTTTTCCACTTAGTAACATACCTGTACTTATGTGAAATCTGGTTTCAGATGACAGTTATTATTTATCTTTGTTACTGATATTCATTAAACTTTTTGAAGTCTGCATTATAAACGTTCAGCAGGTAATTAAAAATGGCTGAGCTGCATTTTAGTGTTTTTGATGATCAGAAATGATCCTTTTGATGGTTTAATTGTCAGTAAATGTTTTCCTTTCATTGAAAAAACAAATCCCCAGGTGCACACCCTAATGAAATATGCTGAATAAGCATATAGTGTAGATGTGTCAGTTTCTCCCATTAATTTCAATAGAGGATCCCTAGACCTAGTCTGCATTGAACAAACTGCTGGCCATTATTACAGCTTCTATGACAAAGCATAAGTAATGTGAGAGAAGTACGGGGGAATAAATCCATTCAGAGAATGCAACGTAACTCAAGCAGACTGCTGTGGTCCTCTCATATTACAGCACTCTCTGTATAGGGACCATTTTAAACAAAATAATTATTATAGGTTAAAAGTAAATTTGAAATTGTTATTGTTGAAATCAGACATTAAATAGATTTGTACTTCTTTGTGCACTTCAAGATTTTTTTTCCATTTGTTTAAATCACAATACTTATACAAATAAACCTGAAGAATTGCATAAAGAATTGTGTAAAAACTGTGATGATGCATCAACAAGCAAATAATCTTTTAGTAACTGTTATGTTGACAGTTTTACTTTTAATGCTAAGTGCTGTTTGCAGTATTCTATTAGCTACAACATTGTATATGGGGGGGAAAAAGGTCTGCTTTGATTTCTTTTTTTACTATTTTTTTTTAATGGTTTCTCATTTAATTTAGAGAATAAAATCATCACACAATAATAAAGTATACAAGCACAGTGATACACTTGCTGACATAGTCCATCTACTAGCACCATTTTTCACTTCTATGTTCACTTTTTGACAAGGACCCAGATAATTTACTAGGTCAGAGTTTCTCAACCTTTTACAAAGTACCCTGCAAGTCTAAAAAAAAATCCTAAGTACTCATGTCTCGAGAAAGCAATTTCTTTTGATTTAAATACCAAATGAAAGGTGTAGACACACATATCTAGGTTAATTCCATATTGGAGAAAAAACCTGATTAAAGGTAGTCAAGAACATTTTTAAAATAAATATAACATCATGTGAATATTGTGTTACACACAGAGGACACTAAAACACACACAACACATGGTTACAAACATAGGACACTAAAACACACACACACACACACATATTGACACACAGAGGACACTGACACACAGTACAGCTCCCTCGTCTCCTCCACCTCCATTCTCCACCAGCTGGCCGCCTCCTGGAAGGCACCAAGGTGGCCAACTGGCCAGGTCTTGGTGTAGCTACTGCCATTCCCAGGGGTTACACATACCACTGTTTGAGAAAGAAGGTTCTAAATGACCCATTCTTCCTTTGCAAATTAATCTCAATGACCCATTCTTCAGTTTAATATATACAAAACATATGTGCGGTAAAAATAATCTAAGCCCACAACCTGAACGAAGTCATGTGGATTCCTAGAGCTAGTATCTGTGTCAAACCCTAGTTCCTAATGTACCTGCACGTTTTATCTGTAACGCCTCTGCGCAGGCAACCATGAGCTTCCCATGAAACATGAATGACTACCTGCTTGTATCTGCAATGCCAATTACAAAAGAAGCATTTAAAACAAACCCGCTTTGCGCAGGCAACCGAAGGAATACTGTGTTATATTAATGTTGCAGCCCCTGCGTGGGCAATCAATTGCCTTGTTATAAATCAGTTTGATGCCTAAATTCCTAATGTGCTTAAAAATAAAAATATTCAAAACAAAACATATGTGCGCAAAATACCATCTTTAGTCCATTTCCAGTGTCAAAGGGATCTCCATTACATCCCTTAGCAAAGGGAATATAGTAAATATATTGATAATACAATTGGACGAGACCCAACCAATTAGAACCTAGTAAAATAGCATGGCTAGGCTTTAAGAATTATTGAGCTAGCACAAAAATGCATTTGAAATGCATGTTTTTGTGGAATATTAATATAATAACAATTAATATAATACAATTTGTATATACACACAATACATTGACAAAGTGAAAACTATTAAACAATTAAAAAAATTTCCACAGTCAACATTAAGAGATCTGTACACTAAGCAGTACATTGAAACAGGTTGAGATCATTGTTAAGGTTTTATCCAAAATAGCATCAATGGAAACATATCTCATTTAGAATTCTGCTGATTTTGTTTTTTGTTTTTTTCCGGCTGATTTTAGGCATCGGGCTAAAAAGGGTTTTGTGCCATTAATTTTATTTCCACTAACCACTGCGAAGTGTGCCCCATGTCCAGCCAATCAGTCAGATCTTGGTCACTGACCAACAATGCATTTGCAATGATGGACTAATGGAGGCCCTCTGTACGTGTACTTGTTATTTGGATGCATCACATGTGTATTGCTTGCATTTGTAGAAAGGCAAGTTATATAAGTAATGCACGTTTATTTCACTATAGCTTTTTGGAACATGCTCTAGTGTCCAGTGCCTATTTAGATTCAGCCCTTCCCTCCTTTTGAACTGGAAAAAAATTAGTGAAGAACGGTTTTAAATTCTTCTGTGTAGGGTCCATAGGCATAGTTATTCTTTGTAGCTTGTTGTATCTTGTATTAAAGGACCACCTGTCACTGTGCAAGTCAAATATATCCATGCAGTTATTTAAGGTTAATATTTATGGACACAGAAGCCAGGATCTGAACAGGCAATTCTTGGAGGACAATATGATGAGTTGCTTAGAGAGTCATAGCCACAAGTGTAAGCAATCCAAAAAATCTTATTGTAGTGAAACACTTGCATTCAAGGAAAATGTCAAAAAGTAACAGTGGAAAAATGCTTAGTAGTATAGCTGTGACGTGTTTCATGCCTTAACGGTACTTAGTCACAAGGAAGTACTTAGTAATAATCTAGTACTTAGTCATAAGCCAGTGCTTAGTAAATATGAAAAAAATGACAAAACACAAGGAATGGTGTTTAAGCATGCTCATTAATGGATATGAAAACCAGACATGTGGGTAACCACACAAATGGCGCCCTGCATTCAAACACACTCCATACAAAGCAGGTTTACATTCAAACACACAGCCACTACTCACAAATACGTCCTGCCAGGATGTTACCCATCTGGCAAAGCATTGTGATAGTTGTATGACAGTTGAGGGTCTACCTTTTGGTCACTCATGCGTTAGATTGGGGCCCAACATGGCTCTCTCAAAATGAGTTCCCTACTGATGTAATTAATTTGTTTTTAGAGAGTCTGCTGCATATTTTACACAGTAAAATTCCTTATACCTTACATCTGTTCAGCAACCTTCAGATGGATCACTAGGAAATTTTTAATTATAGCCCAAAATAGCAGAGCTGGGAACATGGCTGTGCTAGATAGTTTTTCCAATTGTGCTCTTTTGGCCTACAATGATTCATTTCCTAGTAAATTCTCCACAGCTTCCATCTTAATCCATAATGTTTTCCCATGTTTAATGTTGTGGTTTCTTTATGCATATGCATATAATGCATTAACTTGTGTCTGAGTTTTACGGCAAAATAGACATAGCATTTATCTTGGTGCATGTTGATTGGACCTATTTTGTTGCAACCTTACTGTACATACAGTGGCAAAGAAATTGCACTACCTGAGATAGGATGAATGGACCCAGGGTGTCTAACACAGTCATGATCTAATTAAAAAACTTGCAAAGTCTGCAGCGTGATAGTTTACAATACCCCTCCAAGGCATGAAGTGGTTAATTTTTAGTAACCTTTGACCTTTTATCGGGGCACTGAGTAGGGACATACAGCTGCGGTGCCACCACTCTGACATTTCTCCCCACCGCCCAGCAAACTAAATTCTTCCATTGTCTCTTACTGGTCTGCCTGCTTTCTCCTGTTGACAGCAAAGGCCGATTGGCAGAGATTGGGGAAAAGGCGGAGGAGGGCGGGGGACAGACTGCTGGCACGCAGGATCATATCAATGGTCCATTGTGTACAGCAGTACTTACACTTACCAGCTGTAATGGGGAAAACAAGTGCCACATATCTGCAGTAACCCACCTAGGGAGAGGAAGCATTTAACTGCTTTTACTGGATGAAGTAAATGTAAATAAATATAGTGTATGACAGACTGTAATTTACAAACCAGTAGAACCTAAACCTTATAGATTTACAAGAAACCACAAACTGGTTTTCTCTCAGTTGGCCGAGCCATGTTTCTGCCTTTATTTCTAAGGGTTTGGTAAATAAACCAAAATATACGTCATATTTTTATCTGTAATAAAAAGTAAGAAAGCTATAGGTCATATAGTTTATCAACTAGCAACCTATATATATTATTCATATATCAATATATGGAAATGCTATTTTACAATATTTAAATATATGTATGTAGCCTGTAAATGTATTTTTGAGATACAATTGTATATTATATATTTTTCATAAGAATACTAACTGAATGTTTTCCTACAGGTAAAGTTTCCTGGATAGGTCATATATTATAAAACATATTCATAGATATTCACTGAAGTGAATTGTTAAGAATACAGAGTGTATTTGAAATTTGAGGCTAAGTTGGCTAAAAATTTAAGAAAACAATTACAAGTCCACTATGTTTCCAATTTGTCTATTATGACATTTAAAATTAACTTTGAATTCCCCAAATTTCACCCTTCAGTGACCAACCATAAGTCCTACTTGACAGTATCTACTCATGGTTCCTTACAGGACATAGGTTAACCCAATAGTATGAGCAGGTTATTAAAGGTTTGCTTCCAGAGATAGCACTTCATCAAAGCACGCAGATCTGTGGACAGAGTCTAGCTACTGAAGTGGATGTTCGCACGATCTGAGAGCTCTGATATGAATAGCTATTTCTTTAATCATATTACCACTTTATGCCTTAATCTGTAGGGATATAGCTGGACTATTGGGTTTGCTAATACACAATGGGTTGTAAAAACAAAAACCAGAGAAGCCATGGCCAGGCATGAATATTGGCGATCTTCTCTGGCATGGCATTCTTCAGCCCAAGATTGTCTCTTACCCAAAGGATTGCTCTGACCTGTCGGATGACTTGTCCCTTGAGGATGTAGACCTACCTATTCTAAATAATCTAATCTTGGTACCATCACCAATGATGACGAACCTTTAGAAAACTATTAAAGATGTGACCGTTGAAAACAACTCCTAAAGTAACAGCCAAGATACAGCAGACGCAACAAGAGATACAGGAACAGCACAATACATTTCAACAACAATTTGGATATCTAAAAGTAAGGAGCATGTCGGAGGATCTTCCAGAGGAGCAGTTGCTGCACTTATGTGCCTACTGGTACTTTTTTTTGTCCACTAGACAAGCCAAAACTATTGGTTTAGATGAATTATTTTGTCTCCTCAGACTGGTCAAAGCTTCAGCTACAGTGTCAAGAGACTTGGTGGTTCTCTTCAAGAGCAGCAGAAATAAAACTGTAGTCTTGGCTGCTACCAGGGGAAACTCTCCCTACAATTTCAAGACTATGCCTCTTACCCTCTATGTAGATCTATATAGTGAATCCCTGGCATTGCGGAGGTCACTCCAACCATTTACATCTCTCCTCCAAATGTATGACATCCAGTACTGTTGGTGAATGTCCCGCACGCTCCCCGATCTACATGGGTAGTCTAAGTTTCTAGGGCAAGATCTTCAGGGAGCGGCAGCAATTCTGGCGACCTTGGGCCTTCCGCAGGACTCACTTGACTAAGTTGGGCCACACACGGTTAATAAATCATCCCAAATCACCTGGGATCCAGCAAATATAACCCAATTCACTTAGTTTGGTAGCGAAGCGTCAAGCTTTTAAACATTTTTTATTGTATTACATTGCACTCTATTGTATATTATTTGCTTTTGCTATACGATGCTACACCTTCTACAGAGGTTAAGCGTTGAGTTTCATTGTAATCTTTATTTTTCCATTTATTTTATACAGCACGTTTAGATCAGTACACACAGTCAAACATGTTCATCTCCTTATACAGGAGCCAGGTAGTAAAAGTAACATACTCCAGATAGGCCCCCCCAACATCCGGAAATTTGACAGAATCTTAGCATTTGAGTTAGGCTAGATTTTAGACTGCGCTGGTATATCTGCGCGGCAAACAGGACCGCAATCTCGGGACCCCCGGAGAGCACATGTGACCCATGCGCCGGGTGGGGCATGGGATATGTGGCTTGTCCTTTTGCACGGGCATTCTTAACTGCATGTTACCCCTGCCACCGTATACAAGGAGGCCCTCTAGTGGGTTCGCCCCTGGCCCATTATTCCCTCGGTACCCTCCAACCTCCTACACTGGGTTGATGGTTCGTGGGCGAGGTCCGTCCGCTGCCGGTTGCCTTCCAAGGTCACCGTGCCCTTTCTCCTCCCCTAGCGTAAGTGTCCTGAGCCCCCTAGGGGTCAAATCAGGTACCATCGCCTGTATTGAGTCTGAGGCCCGGGATGAGCCAAGTGTGTGAGGCTGAAGGCGCCAGAGGACCTCCCCTCGTACCATCCGGATGCTTTGTTAGCCCCCATCCCTCCACTCTGACCCCCCTCGTCCTGTACGATACCCATCCGCTCCCAAGATATTCCGAAGCCTCTCCAACCCGCTATCTCCCTATGCCTCCATGGACTAGCTCCAGTCCTTGCTTTGTACTTCCAGCCCCCATCCCCAAAACACTCTGAATGCTAAGTTAGGGGGTGAGTGAGTCTGTATGCCTACTCTCGGGTAAGTGTCTCCGTGCGTCATCTGTCTGGGAGGAACTGAGGGGCGTGTGAAGGGAAGTCATAGTCGCCTGGTTGGGGAAGTGTGCCCCCCCCTAAACAGGGAGGCGCCCCGGCACAGTCAAGTCATTGTGCGTGAGGAAAGCCGTACCGGTGCGAGAGCACCACCTTCCCCCAGCCGGGCTCCCCCCACGGCCCCCCTGGCCGTGTACTCCGTCCAAGGAAACCATGTGAGCGCACATTTATCCGAGCGCCCCTGCAGAGACGCAGTCATCAATTCCATGTTGTGAATCGTTTCCACCCTGTCAATCCATTGGTGGAGCGAGGGGGCTGCCTGACTTCTCCATAGCATGGGGATGAGGGATTTTGCTGCCGTGAGAAGGTGTATTACCAAGCCCTTCTTGTACGCGGAAATAGGCATGCTCGTATGATTCAGTAGCATTGGCAGCGGCTGGAATGGGATGTCCGTCCCAGTAACATCTTTAATCCCTTTATGTATCGTTCTCCAGAAAGGTTCGATGCGGGGACACGACCACCACATGTGGATCCCAGAGCCATCCGCATCCCCACACCTCCAGCACTCTCCTGATAGAGATTCGTGGACATGACGAAGAATGTCCGGAGTTCTATACCAACGTACCAGTATCTTGTAGTTGCACTCCTGGAACTTGGAGCAAATGGTCCCCCTGTGCGTCAATTGAAAGATCTTTTGCCATTCAGAGGTAGATAGCTCGACCCCTGCTTCCCTCTCCCACCGTACCGTGAACCCTAGTGGGGCCTGGTCTTCGCAACTCTGCAACATGGAGTAGAGTTGCGTTATGCGATGGGAGAGATGCTGTCTGGCGGCACAGATTTGTTCGAAGTGGGACAGTGGGCAGTGGAGGTGTGCCTTCCCAGTTAGTGAGGTTACATAGGTTTTAAGCTGGTAGTACCGGAAATTGTCCAAGCCGCTGGGTCTGCGGTCTTGGAGCAGCGTGGCCACCGGTTTGAGGTTCGGACCATTACACCATTGGTGCAGGTACATCCAGTCCGTGGCCCCAAAGTTCCTCAGATCACCTGGGGAGAGTCCACCTGCCAGTCTTGGGTTATGCGTCACGGGCGTAAGAGGATTTGGCGATGACGTGAGTTGTAGAGAGAACCGGATACCACACCAGACCTTTAAAGTCGCATCCACCAGGGGGTTGCCCGTTCGTAGTTCCTGGAACGTGGCATCTCCCAGCCACAACTGGGACGGAATTTTGCCTCCTCCTGCCTGTGTCTTTTCCATGTCTACCCACCGCTTCCCGCTCGGAGCAGCGTGCCAGTCCACTAGACGAGCCAAGTGTGTAGCCCGGTAGTAAGTAAGGACCGAAGGCAAGCCCATGCCTCCCTCGCTTCTAGGACGCTCCAGGATCGACTGCCGGATGCGGGCAGCTCTCCGGTTCCATACGAACTGCTTAAAGGCGGATGACAACGTTTGGAAGAAGTTCCTTGGTATAATGACTGGGATCGTCTGGAACAAGTACAATATACGGGGCATGACATTCATTTTAATGGCATTTATGCGTCCGAACCAGGATATATATTGGGGGGCCCAGCGCTTCATGTCTTGTTGTAGAGTTGTGAGTAGGGGGACAAAATTCATGGAATATGCTTGAGTTAGATCACACGGTATCCAGATGCCCAGGTACCGTAGTTTGTGCAAGCAAATCCGGAAGGGGAAATGAGCCTGGATGTGTCTACGAAGTGCCGGGTCTCGTGTGAGTGGCATCAGTTCCGACTTGGCCAGGTTGAGCTTCAAGTTAGAAACTAAGCCATAGAGTCGGAAAGCTTCTATTAAGTTCGGTAGCGAGATTCTGGGCTGTTCGAGGAGGAAGAGCATGTCGTCAGCGTATGCCGCCACTCGATGCTCCTCCCCCCCTACCAGGCACCCCGCTATGCCCCCATCCCGTCTCACCGCCTCCAGGAAGGGCTCCAGAGTGAGGGCAAACAGGAGGGGGGACAGCGGGCAGCCCTGACGCGTGCCATTGGAAATCCGGAACACACCCGTTAATGCTCCGTTCACCCGTATACGCGCCGTGTTTCATCGTAATTTTAATAGCTAGAAAGAGGTGTATTGCAACGCTATCTGTTTCTCTACTAAGGGATTAAACTTCAGGCCATAGGCTGTCACGCATTATACAAAATCCGTTATACTAAAACTACATGTCATTGTATATCTGTTGCATCATTCTCCATGTTGACTGGTATCTCCTTTCCTGTCTATGGATTAAACCAAAAATATATATATTTTTAAAAGGGCATGCTGAACTCTCTGCTCTTCGTTTGATATTTTCCTCATGTTAGTTTAAATGACCTGTTTTAAAGACACACTAAATCCTGTTAATCCTAAATAGAAAAAATATAATGGAAAAACATATGCAATAAAATGGCCTGTACTTTTTAATATACCATCCATTGTTATATCTGCCTAGTAACTTCCATGCTACATTCTAATAGATACAGGTTAAAAACAAAGCACTTTTTTTCTGCAGGAAGAGGACTTCGTGGCCTTAATGGAGCCATTCCCAGTCTAGAATATTAAGCAGTCAACACCCAGCCTGATCAGCATTCAGTTTAAATCAGGATGTGTCTATCTATCATCAGTCCATCCATACATATTATATAAAATGTATCACCACACTGCTTTCAACATCTAGTATGATCTAATTTATTATCTATTATAATTGTACAAAAGTGACGACCGGAACAATCAGGGAGGTTTTGATGCAAAAAAACATTTCGGTTTCCACATACATTATTACCGGGGTCCTCTCAAAATAATTTTTCTTTCAATGCTTTTCATCGCTTGCTTTCTCCATAGTGGGTTTCCTTAATTTCTAACCCATATTCTTTCTCTTCTTTCATTCTCTACCCATACATTGTTTACTGTATTCCCTATTCGGGACAAGAGAAAATAATTATTGTATAGATCAAGCAGGGACACTTAGCATAATCTCAAGAGCTATACATATTGGAGCCACATAAATAAATATGAACCATAATAATCTGTTATGTAGCAGTGCTCGGGCACTCCTACTAATTTGTATCTAAGGGAGATTAGAACACCTGCAGAATGATGTACGTTGTATGTAACCTTGGAGAAAGTCATAGAGAAAAGTGGGTATTTTATATTGTCATAAAATCACTTCAGTTAAGTAAAAACATTATCTTGTCTTGCCAAGTATTACAGTATTAGAACCCATTTTTTTTCATCTCACCCCACCACTCCCAGTTTAATTCTCATCCAGCATTTTATTTCATACCTTAGCACTTCTTCCTCCTTTCACCAGTCCCCAATAGTCTTAAAACAACACATTTAAAAGGAAATGATAGTGAGAACTTTCCTCTAAATAAATGCAATTTCCATATGACTCCCACGCTACCTGTATTTAGACAGCTCATATTGACAGAGTGCCATACTATTTAGAACATAACCACAAAATCACACACAGGTAAAACTGGTTATTGTATAGCACAGACTTCACAATTTACTCCAATGGTTTCCTTTTAAAGGGGCACTCTAAACATAATAACTAGTTCAGTGTTGTGGTTATGTTTCTAAAAGTTGCTGGCTGCTGCCCCTAGCGCTCTCATCTAACACCGTGAACTCTGTGTCCTGTTCCTCAAACCATTCCTGAACAGTTTTTGCAATGTGGCAGGTTGCATTATTCTGCTGAAAGAGGCCACTGCCACCAGGGAACACCATTGCCATGAAGAGTTTGTGGTCTGCAACAATCTCTAGGTAGATGGTACGTATCAAATTAACATCCACATGAATGTCAGGAGGACCCAAGGTTTCCCAGCATAACATTGCCCAGAGCATAACACTGCCCTCTTCCTATACGGTACTTGCTTCCCACCCTTTTCCCAGGTAAATGACGCACACGCACCCAGCCATCTATCTGAGCTAAAAGAAAACATGTTTAATTAGGCCAAGCAACATTATTCCATTGCTCCATGGTCCAGTTCTGATGCTCATGTCCCCATTGAAGATGCTCATACATAGCAAACTGTGATGCACTGTGTATTCTTGCACCTTTCTATGATGGTCAGTATTAAGTTATTCAGCAATTTGTTTTCCAGTGGCTCTTCTGTGTGATTGAACCAGACGGGTTAGCGTTCGCTTCACTGAACCTTGGTCACCCATGACCCTGATGCCGGTTCACTGGCTGACCTTCCTTGCACCACTTTTGTTAAGTACTAACCACTACATACCGGGAACACCCCACAAGACTTGCCTATTCACTATTTTGTCTTTGTCAAAGTCAATCAGATTTTTTCACTTGCCAATTTTCCATGCTTCCAATACATGAAATTCAAGAAGTGACTATTCACCTACTGCCTAATCAGGGCCGGCGCGTCCTATAGGCGACTTAGGTCGTCTAGGGCGCACCGGCCTGGGGGTGCCAGATTTGAGTGACCCGGCAGGAGGGAAGTGCACAGAGCTCCCTCCTGCCAGTCACTCAGTGTAGCGAGGCCGGGAGGCACGGACCGCGGTACAGGACCTTCAGTTTCCTGTACTCTGCTGCCAGTCGGATTGACAGGAAGAGCGCAGAGAGCACTTCCATTCAGACCGCCCGGCGGCTGGGTACAGGAAACAGAAAGTCCTGTACCGCGGCCGCGCCACCCGACCACGCTTCACAGGGAGGTAGGAGGCAAACAAGGGGAGGGAAAGACCACTAAGGGACGAAGGGGAGGAAGGAAGAGAGACCAATCAGGGACAGGTGAGGACGGGGTAGGGAGAGCACCAAGGTACAGGGTGGCAGAGGAGATCACTAAGGGACAGGGGTGAGCACTAAGGGACAGAGGAGATCACTAAGGGACAGGGGGCATGGGAGAGCACTAAGGGAGCAGGGTAGAACACTTAGGGACAGGAGGGTAGGGGAGATCACTAAGTGACAGGGGTCAGGGTCAAGCACTAAGAGACTGGGGCAGGGTAGAGCACTAAGAGACAGAGGGCAGGGGAGATCACTATGGGACAGGAGGGGAAGGTGGATCACTAAGGGACAGGAGGCGAGATCACTAAGGGCAAGAGGGCAGCAAGTGATCCAGGGGAGAGCACTAAGGGACAAGGGGGCAGGGAAGAGCACTAAGGGACGGGGGGAACAGGAGATCACTAAGGGATGGGAAAACACTAGGGGAGCAGGGTAGAACACTAAGGGACAGTAGGGTAGGGGATATTATTAAAGGACGGGGGGCAGGGGAGAGCACTAAGGGACGGGGCAGGGTAGAGCACTAAGGGACAGGGGTGCAGGGGAGATCACTATGGGATAGGAGGGGAGGGGAGATCACTAAGGGACAGGAGGGGAGATCACTAAGGACAAGAGGGCGGTAAGTGATCCAGGGGAGAGCACTAAGGGACAGGAAAGGATGGTAGACCTCTAAGGGACAGGGTGGAGTGAAAGAGATCATTAAGAGATGGGGGAGTGTAAGACACACAGAGAGGCTGAGGAAGGGGTGAAAGGGAGACACAAAAAGGGACCTGGGGGTGTGAGGGGAAAGACACACAGAGGGCCTGGGGGTAAAAGAGACACACAAAGGGGTTGGGAGGATGTAAGAGACATACAAAAAAAGGATAGGAGACAGACAAGGGGCTTGTAAGAGATACACTAAAGGGGGTGTAAGACACAAAACGAAAAGAAAAAATATACAAAAAAAAATAATTAACAAAATAAATATAATAATACAAATAAAGAGCTGCTCCCCTCTCAGCCCCTATTCTACCCCACACACCCTCTCTTTCACAGTACACACATACACAAAGCATCCCTACACGCACATGCACAGAAACTAACAATGCTTCCCTACTCACACACCGAAACATACAGTGAATCCTACACACACACACATAGAAATACACCATGCTTCCCTTACATATTTACCCTTACACATAATGCATCCATCACATACACAATGCATCCCACACACACACCCGCCCGCAATGCCGCCCTTGTACACACAATGCATTCCTTACATACAAAAACACACAATGCATCCCTTACGCACACACCCTACACACATACACTCCACTCGCTGTGAGCGAACTCATGTGTGGGCAATGTAGGTGGACTTATGGGCAGGCCTTGTAGGCATACGCACAGTCAGGCCCTTGGGGCCCAGACCTTGAGCTGTGTAAGGGGCCCAAAAAATGGAGCTGCTTCCTGTTTGTTGATTTTTGTGAGCACTGATACAAACAGCCTCCAGAGAGCCTGTTCTACACCAGACCAGAAGAGCCAGACTGCAGCCTGAGCCCAACATTCTCCTCTTGTCCTCATTTGGTGGTAAGTATGCAATGCAGTATATTATTAGTGGCACTAATCTCTAACTTACCTCACATTAAAGAGACACTCTAGTCACCAGAACCACTGGAGCTTAATGTAGTGGTTCTGGCGTCTAAAGCCTAACCCCTGCAGGCTTTTTAATGTAAACACACTGCCTTGTCAGAGAAAAGACACTGTGTGCAGCACTGGCGTTGGCCCATATGGCAGATCATATGGATGGGGCATTGTGATGTCATATGGTGGGCAGAACATATGGGGGGGCAGAAGCAAAAATCCTTACACCGGCCCTGTGCCTAATATATCCCACGCATTGACAGGTGCCATTGTAACAATATAATCAATGGTATTCACCTGTCAGTGAATTTAATTGTTGTCTAATGTATATTCCCTATTATCTGGTTGGCTAAGGATTGGAAAGTCTCAGAGTACCGGAGAGAGTGCTAACATCTGTCAAGCAGCTATTAAACAAATATTCAGAGAGTAACCAGAGATTACTAGCTGCAATGGTTATGTTGGGTGTTTATTTGGGTTCCTTATTTATTTGCTCTTTGTAGATATCGTTTTTTTTTTCTTTTTTAGTGAAATGATTTTTTAAATGGGCACCATCACTTCTTTTGAAATTGCACCGCTGAAAAAAGATTTTGCAGTGTGCACTTTGCAGATTGCAAACCTAACAATTGAAGCCTAGAAAAATGTTACCTGGTTTGACTTGTCTTGGCTGCAAAAAGCGATTGGAAAGGTCAGAACTGGAATATACTGGAATCCACGATGCATTATGCTTTAGGTGAATAATACAGGCTGGTGAGGAAGCACCTTTGTCATAAAGTGGATAATTGCAGAAAGAGATGATTGCAGCATGAATGTGTGGCCAAATAATCTGTGTGGGTTGCATGAGACCATTGACACATATTGGATCCTAACAAATGTTACCAGAATTCATGTCATGAATAATTCTGTGTGGTCGGGAGACAAAATAGGGACCTACTACATAGTGTGCACTTCAGTAAACCTAATCGTATAAACCACTAAGAGTCACAGAACTAAATGAAAACTATACATCCTGTAACGGGACATACATGCTAACAGACTGTCTACATTTGGTCAAAACCCGAAACATGAAAAAATAACTAGAGAATGAGGAACTTTTGATAGAAATGGGTCGACACAGACTTACAGACCAGAAAAAGGCAGGAGTTCTAGGAAGTGCCAGATTACACAGTTTATCTTTAACAAGACCTCCTGTTTTATTTATTGCAGAATCTATGACAGGAGTGCCCAAACTCAGGATGTTTTGTTAGACCTATATCTTTTGGTTGGTTAGTCTACATCATTGTAATGAATTTATATTTATATAAAATATGATCCCAAATGACCACGACCACAACAACTGAACACATTATGTCAGGTTATGGCTGAATTAGGAATGGGTTATTGCGCAAAAAAATGTAAGCAGGAAATTTGTAAGGTTGAAAATGCATAGATTGGCTTTGGAAATACAGGAATACATTTCACTGGGAAAGTGGAATTAAGGTTAGAATCCCTCCAGTATCTGATATTCTAAACATGAAATATTACATATCTACATTTATGCAATGGATTCAGAACATTTAGTATCTATCTATCTATCTACACAAACTTTTTAATGGCAGACCTTTGTAAAAATCTGGTGCTGTTCTCTTTTTTGCCACTTATGCAGCTGAGCACTGATAAATAGTCTTTATTTGTTTGTGTCCTAAACAGTGGCCCCCCTTCCTTATTCTCCACTTATGAGGATGACTGCAGCTGCAGGCTATGTGAATAGGTTTTCATGCAATCTTTGAAGAAAGTGGGACAAAGGGACTATTCTCTATAAGACCCCAGACTGCAGCTGGACACCCCTCCTCTGTGCTCGGCCTCTCTCCCATATAACTGTTCCAGACATGATGGAGATCTGCATTCCAATACTGCACATTCTGGATCTTGGGGTGCTGGATGGACTTAAAAGATGGCTGCCAATAGTAACCTAACACTGTCCTTTATTGTGGGAATAAAGAACATTTATAAATGGGGACAGGGCTGGGAAAAGAGCTAACAGCAGATACTGTGACAAGTAATGGCAGAATGTGCAGTTAATTGGCACATTACTATTATTTACATGTATTATGTATACATTAATATTGGATACTGTGTAATGCCTTCATGGTTGTGATTCACCAAATACAATCATTTATTTAGTGTTCGTTTATTAATATAGCCTCAAGAAACCCATAATCTGAGTTTTATGCTGTTGTGTTATGTCAAACCCTACAAATAAACCACAAATGTCAGTGACAGTTTATGTTGCATATTGTATAGAGGAATTACATAGAATGAATCAGAGATTCTTCAATTTATCTTAATGGCTTCAAATTATTATTTTTTTGTTATTCATGATAACATCAATTACTGTATTCAAATAGTTTCATTGGATTCAAACATTTGGAGGGTGTTTCTCATTCGAAGGGTGTTTCTCAATTGCCAAAAAAACCCTAGACTAGTGATATCAATTTCTATCCTAAAATCCTGCAAAAGTTTTAGAATTGTTTTTATTTGATTTCTAATTGTATCTGGGTACTGTTCTTTGACTGATCTTACTGTTTTACCTGAGTGCCCATTATATTGTATTAAATGGATAATGTTTTTTTTACATTATGTTAGTCAAATTTTACATGTATTGATTACATTTTGTCTGTATATTGTTATTTTAACGTTTATAACATTGACCTAAAGAGGTACAAATGGTAAATATGGATACTGCAGTACCAAAATGATGCAGATAGCATCCCGCAATGATATTAGACTTTAAGGTCAGAATTCTGACTTCATCACACTACATATAAGTATGCAAGCATTCATTTATAACCACAGTGACAGCCATTTACATGAAGCATCTGTCATTGCACATGATACAAACCATTTTAATTCCAACAAAAACATATAAAACGTTATCCTGAAATATATGTATGTATTAAGGACTAGATTACGACCTGTGATTAAGTGCTTGTCCTAAGAATGGGACACTGTATGTTGTAACTGTGTTTGTAACGGCATGTTGTGTCTGCCATAAAGTTTTTTACCATCATTAAAGACAGTGTGGTTCCAATCTGAAACCTATACACTCTCTGGAAACATATACACTCTCTAGGTGTACTAGAGAGAAAGGTATTGGAGAGTCCAAGAAAAAAAAAGACATTATTCTTTGTTTTGATCATAATCAGATGGTTTTATGAAGGTTTTCAGCCCCTAAAACAAGGCTGAAAGATGGCTGATATTTAGGCTGGCATATAGAAATAGACATTAGTAGGAAACATGGTGAAAGACGCGTTAATATTCTGCCCAAGGCAGATTTTTTTTATTGTTTACCATTATTTGCCAAGGACACCATGTGACAGTAGCCAGGAGCCTGTCTGATGGAAGCAGGCATAATGAAACGCGTAATTGTTTTCTGGATGTGACACTGCGTGAGACGATGCTCGGACTGCAGGATAAGGACATGCCAGGATTATAATTTAAAGCCTTAGTTTTCTTTGGCATATCAGATGTGTTTATTTATGTGTTCCCCTCTCTCCTTTGATTGTTTTCCACCTGACTGAATAGTAATGGAGATTTATTACGGAAGTTTTCGAGAAAGGAAACAAAAAAAACTTTTTTACATTTTTAAAAAAAGTTTTAAACAATTTTGTCTTGCGTAAGTACTCACCATCTACTGGATCTTTCTACATTTTATTTTGTCACAACTTAGAATTAAAATTGTTTCAATTAAGAACGTGTCCAAGCTGACAATATAGACCATTGTTTGACGAGTCACCTTCATAGAGTAACTAGGCCACAGCTTCATCTATTGCAGGTCCTTGAGAATAAAAACAATACAAAAAAAGAATATTGGAGCTTCCGTGCAAGAAAGTGCACAATGAGAACCTGCACCTGAGCTCTCAAGGTGGGGACAGCATCCGAAGGTCATCGCTCTTTTCAATGATACCACAGACTATAAAGCCTTGCCTATGGAGTATATAGGCACCTTGGCTTCAGAATGCAAAATACATTCAAAGTTACAGAACCGCAGTACTATGATCCAGGAAGATTCTGGTATAGTGGCAGGACTAGGGTCCAGCACAGACCACTTAAAAATCTAAATGGATAGTGTCGATATGGTATATTATTACCCACTGGAATGGATAGCAACCTGGAGATGATCATGCACTAATGAAGGACAAAGATGACTACATGGAGCACCACTTTTTAAAAGCTTACTCCTCTATAATGTATTACAAGTTTTCAAGTTTGGGCAACAGACACTTTTCACTGACATGTGAGGAGCGACTATAGAGTTTTTTACTAAATCAGATATATCTAATAAGACTGGTAAATGATAAAAAATATTCATCCCAGATTATTACTTTGGCAACCAAAACCCAAGTGAAGCTCTGCCATGTTTGACAGAAATTTTGCGCATTTTATCTGATACACACAAACTGCAAGCAACCCTCATCATGTCAATAGGTGCATGTATTGTTGTCTTGACTACTGTGATGGCAGTTTTTTTTATAACTCCGACAACTATTAAAATGGGAGATGAAACCTATATTCACATGTGGTAGGAGGTGCAATCTTATTATGGAAATATTAAAGGATCACTATAGTGTCAGGAAAACAAACTTGTTTTTCTGACACTATAGCATCCTTAGGACCCCCCCCACCCTCAGGGTCCCCCTCCCTTGGTGCTGAAGGGGTTAAAACCAGTTCAGCTACTTAACTTTATCCAGCGCTGGGCTCCCTCGGCGCTGGTGACCTCTCCTCCCCCACCGACGTCAGCTCCCAAGTGGAACGGAATGCGCATACACAGCAAGAGCTGCGCGTGCATTTCTCAATGCTTTCCTATGAACATTCTGCAAAATTTGCATCTTGCGTCGCAGAAGCGTCTCAAGTGGCTGTCAGGGAGACAGCCACTAGAGGCTGGCTTAACCCTGCAATGTAAACATAGCAGTTTCTCTGAAACTGCTATGTTTCCATCTGAAGTGTTAAAACCTGGGGGACCTGGCACCCAGACCACTTCATTGAGCTGAAGTGGTCTGGGTGACTATAGTATCCCTTTAAGGAATTATTGAGGGATGTTCTTGATAGGGATTATGCTAAATCCTTGGGTGTATTTATTGGCCAGACCCCTAGATGAAAACGGAACAAAAACTTCTACATAAATTGAACTTGGCAGCCAGAAGGGCTTTAGCTCAATCTTGGTTACAGCGGGAGACCGCTTCTATGGAAGTAGTAATTTAAAAAAATGAAAGATACTTATCTTATGGATAAATTGACAGCTCAAGTAAGAAGCACTGTGAAAGCATTTGAAAAAGTATGGGACCCTTGTATGACCAGTGATGTGGGCGGTTAGGGCATTGGCGGAGTGGGTTCAGTCCCCCACATTTCCTGCTTCTCTCTGCTTTCCGTCCCACTTAGTTGCTGGGTTAAATGATAGACCCTCTTCCCCCTGGCACAGAAAGTATATGAACTAGCTGATAACTTTTACCACTTCAGCTGGAAGGCTATTCCATGCATCCACTACCCTCTCAGTAAAGTAATACTTCCTGATATTATTTTCAAACCTTTGCCCCTCTAATTTAAGATTATGTCCTCTTGTTGTGACAGTTTTTCTTCTGTTAAATGTCCTTTACTGTGTTGATTCCCTTTATGTATTTAAATGTTTCTATCATATCCCCCATCTCATCTTTCCTCAAAGCTCATGTTAAGTTCCTTTAACCTTTCCTTGTAAGTTTTATCCTGCAATCCATGAACCAGTTTAGTAGCCCTTCTCTGAACTCTCTCTAAAGTATCAATATCCTTCTGAAGATGCGGTCTCCAGTACTGCATACAATACTCCAAGTGAGGCCTCACCAGTGTTCTGTATAATGGCATGAGCACTTCCCTCTTTCTACTGCTAATACCTCTCCCTATTCAACCAAGCATTCGGCTAGCATTTCCTGCTGCTCTATTACATTGTATGCCTACCTTTAAGTCATCAGAAATAATCACCCCTAAATCCCTTTCCTCAGATGTTGAGGTTAGGACTCTATCAAATATTCTGTACTCTGCCCTTGGGTTTTTACGTCCAAGATGCATTATCTTGCACTTATCCACATTAAATGTCAGTTGCCACAACTCTGACCATTTTTCTAGTTTACCTAAATCATTTGCCATTTGGCTTATCCCTCCTGGAACATCAACCCTGTTACATATCTTAGTATCATCAGCAAAAAGACATACCTTACCATCAAGACCTTCTGCAATATCACTAATAAAAACATTACAGAGAATGGGTCCAAGTACAGATGCCTGAGGTACCCCACTCGTGACAAGCCCACGCTTCGAATATTCTCCATTGACTAACACATTGCATCCACTACACAAACACACACACTGCATCCACTACACAAACACACACACTGCATCCACTACATAGACACTGCATTCACTACACAAACACAGATACTGCATTCACTACATAAACACTACATTCACTACACAGACACTACATTCACTACACGCTGCATCGCATCCACTACACAAACACAGACTACATACACTGCACCCACTACACAAATACACACTGCATTTAATATACACACACTCTGCATTAACTACACACACTGCATCCACTACACCGACACTGCATTCACTACACAGACACTACATTCACTACACACTGCATCCACTACACAGACATTGCATCCCCGACCCCTACACAAACACAGACTGAGCTGTGTAAAGGGTCCCACAATTTCTGATGGCAGGCCTGATTAAAAGTGCGGACAAGCTATGTTTCAAAGCTTCTGCCCATGAAAATAATGCTCTGTTTAGGTCTACTAAGTGAAATATTTACCCCAAAGGTCTGCAGTTTGACAGCTATGGTAGTTCGTCCAGGGGCTCCTACCATAGCTGTCAAACTACAGACCTTTTGAGTAATCAACTCTAGCGGGGATTGGGCTATCAGACCCCTCGTTCTATGCAGTATTCTACTTAGATGCACTGTCCTGTGCTACTTTCTCACGATTAGATGATACTTTGACATGATGTACATCGTTCCTTATATCTGATCTAGCTAGTGTAGCAGATTATGTTTAGACTTAGGTGCCCTTGAAGGCACAGATATGCATATCCAGTTCAGCACGTCCTACTACTAGAAAACGGTCAGCTACTTATCAACTCCGTTCCTGTATTGTCTCTAGCTAGTGTAGCAGTTTTTGCTCTCATTTAGGTGCCCTTGAAGGCACAGATTTGCTCACTTAGACTAGGAGCTTGTGCAGACTTAGTTACCTTCTGCATAGATTGGATTAACTCTGCAGGAACCGACACGTAAATACTTCGTACTTGTTTTTTAGATTGACATTTCGCTATAATACTATATTGTATCCACGGACACAGCATTCTATTTTTAGACTTTTAGTAATTATAGGTGCATCTACAGATACTTTGGACCTATGCACCATTACTCTGGTGTTCCTTTGGGGTCAGGGCCGGCGCTACCTGTTAGGCGGACTAGGCAGCCGCCTAGGGCGGCCCCCCTAATGCTGCAGCCGCCCGAGCGCTCTGTAGAGAGCCTCAGGCTGCTGCAGCTTTGCCCGGGCTGGTGCGTCCATGAGGGCGCACCGCCCGGGCGCAGCATGAGGAGAGGTGCTGACAGGAGGGAAGTGCTCAGCGCTCAGCACCCCCTCCTGTCACTCCCTCACTGTAGCGTGGCCAAGCTCTGTATGGTCCGCGGATACAGGGAGCATCTGTCTCCTGTACCCGGCCGGACTAACAGGAAGGGCAGTGCTTCCTTTTAGTCCGGCCGGGTACAGGAAACAAAAGCTCCCTGTACCCACGGACCATACAGAGCTCAGCCACGCTACAACAGTGGTGGGGGGAAATACAGAAATTGAAGGGGGAGAAGGAAATTTGAGAGGGGGGAAGGAAAGAGAGGGAGAAAGAAACTGAGGGGGAGCAAACTGAGAGGGGAAGAAGAAGGAAACTGAAGAGGGGGAGGAAACTGAGTGGGGAGGAAGGAAACTGAGGAGGGGGGATAAGGAAATTGGAGCAGGGGAGAAGGAAACTGAAAGAGGGTGGGGGAGAAGAAGGAAATTGGAGGGGGGGAGAAGAAGGAAATTGGAGAGGGGAGAAGCAAACTGAGAGGGGGGAAAGAAGAAGAGAGGGGAAGAAACTGGAGAGGGGGGAGAAGAAGGAAATTGAGAGGGGAGGGAGAAGAAGGAAATTGAGGGGGAAGGAATGGAGGGGTGGGGAGCAGAAATTGGAGGGGGGAGGAAATTGGATGGGGGGAGAAGGAAATTGACGGGGGGGAGATTGACATCCATCACACACACACACACAATCACACACAATGCACCCCTTGCACACAGAAAAACACACAATGCATTACACACACAGACACATACACAAGCAATGCATCCCTTACACACACAGAAACACACAATGCATTCATTACACACACTCAATGCACCCCTTACACACACTCAATGCATCCCTTACAGACCCACTCACTGCATCCCATACATACACAAACACACCTCGCAGCCCTTACACATACAAACACAGATTCACACAATGCATTCCTTACACACATATCAGGACATCCCCTACACACTCCACCCCCTGTGAACAAACTCATTGGTGGAACATGAAGGTGGACCCTGGGACCCAGACCTTGAGCTGTGTAAAGGGCCTCCAAAAAATGGAGCTGCTTCTCGTTGTCCCAGAATATTGATTTTTGTGACCACAGTTACAAACCACCTTCAGAGAGCCTGTTCTACACCAGACCAGTAGAGCCAGACTGCAGCTAGAGCCCATCATCATCCTCATCTCGTTGTAAGTAGGCAATCTAGTATATTATTCGTGGCACTAATCTCTAATTTACCTCACATTAAAGAAACACTATAGTCCCCAGAACCACTGCAGCTTAATGTAGTGGTTCTGGTGTCTATAGCCTGTCCCTGCAGACCTTTTAATGTAAACACGGCGGCACAGCAGCACTGGCGTTAGTTAACATGGCAGATCATATGGGTGGGGCATTGTGATGTCACATGGGGGGGGGCGGCAAACTTTACTTTTGCCCAGGGGGGCAAAAATCCTTGCACCGGCCCTGTTTGGGGTCCTAGCATTTAACTATTCTGGGGTACACTTTAGTGATATTATCCTTTAACTATTGGCACCAGTAACAGTAGTGTGCCATACGTTTTATATTTGATATTTCACTCTCAACTTAGTAAGAGACTTAGGCTCTTCAGGCTCTCTGCAGTAACTATATATAGAGATACTTTGTCTCCACTTTATTAGTTAGTTCAGTTACTGCAAGTTTGTACCTCAAACGTTTATCAGCCCTTGAGCTGTCTTTTCCCTCGTGTTAAAGAAACCCCTTAGACATATGACCAGCTGTTATTATTATTTACTTTGCTTCATTTCTTTTTCAGCCACTCATACCCTCCTCCCCCCTCCCTGTTTGGTTTTGATTTTTTCTTAGTGTGATTTCATTATAACTAGATTTCTCTCTATATTTTCTCTTAATCTGTGTATTAAAAGTTACATTTTAATTCCATTTTTGGCCTCGGACAGAATATTTCCTCTCTGTTTTCTAGGGGCTAGTGATATACTCAACTGATGTTCCTGATTACAGTGAATGGGATTTTATAATAATGGCAAACTAAAGCTTAAAAATAAATGCAGCAAAAATACAATTTGTAATATTACAAATTATTACAACAAACTTAGTAAAAGAAATGTGGAGAAAAATGGCACTTCAATAAAGCTCAAACTATATCATATGAAAGTCCCCATGTGTCCTCACCATAACTTAGCCCAATATAGTGATTTTTACAGTGGCACAAATGAAGTTTACAAACTAAATCCCTAAATGGCAATGTGCATGTAAAAACACACACACTCACACACACACACACACAAAACAACAATATAAATGTTGAAAGAAATTTCTAAAAAAAAAATGTCTGTACCTTTAAGGTGCAAATTATACCATATGGCATACCTTGTGGTGTCTACCTTTCCAAATGGTATGCATTTATTTGAACTGCTGTAATGCTGCAAAGTGAGACATAGGGTCATAATATCCAATTATAACTCTAATTGTAAAAACTGAAATAGTCAGGTCTCATTTATAGTTTTGTAACATCACAAAATAGTGGCAAAGTCATAGATTGGGGGTGTTGCTAACTCTGAAAAGTACGCTAGGCATACTTTTGGTGGAAAGATCATAGTGGCCGATATCAGTTTCACGAAATGCCCTACAAAAATGCAATGTGTATGTAAACAAATGTAAAATAAAAATATCACTGCAAATTTTGACAGAACATGGTGAACAAATGGCAGCATAACAACCACCATATGAGATACCATGGAATGTCTATTTTCACAAATGTTAGGTCTTTGTTGGGTAATATGAAAAGTCAAACTGGTATGATGCTCAAAATGAGACAAATCCATCTATCAAAATTCTAATTGTAAAATCTGAAATGGTCAGATTTCTTATATGGCACTTTAATTTCACAGAGATATTGGCAAAAGCATATATTGGGGTATTATCAGAACAACTGAACACTATTTGAGGTTTTGTACAGGATTAGCACACATCAGGCTTATTGGGTTTATTAAAAATAATATATAAAAAAAGAGATTGTCAGTTAAATGTAAAAAGTCAAAAGTCAAAATACCCTTACATAGATACTCTCTGATGTCTACTTTATATAAATATATACTTTCATGTGGCAATTGTGTTTTCTGTAATGGCTATTAAACTTTCAAAACAAACATACTAAATTCTAAAATCGCTCCACATTGGAATTGTATTTTACTCCATGAATTTTGTGCAATGTAACTACCATCGATAAACAGAAATCCTACACATATTATGTTCTCTGTAAGTCTGGACAATACATTTATTTTGAATAACTTTTCTTCTTGAGTTGCACTAATTATGTACACGTTATTTTGCCAAAACTGTGAAAAAATGTGTTTGTAATTTTGTGTATTTTTTAATAAATGAGAATTTATGTATGCATATGTCACATCAAATTAAAGTATTTTTTGTCTTTTAAAGGACCACTCCACACTTACAAAAAACAAACACCCCCATCCACAGTTTAGTATATATACCCCCAATGAATACATACATGCATATTGTTATATATGTAATCATTGGAAGTATAGCCTAAAACGACTTCAAAAGCTGCAGTTCTTATGACTGCAGACTTTGTAAGCCCTCCCCTTTTTCACAGGAAGTGACTTTCAGTCACTTCAAGTTGAATTGATCAATCAGAGGCTTCTCATAGGCACATGGCTTTCTTCAACTGAATCTGAGAGCCGTATGTAACCCAGTGTACAGTTTCACTGAACTTTGCCGACTGACAGGATTTTTATTTGTTATTTGTAAAAGTACCTCTACATCACACATCTACAGGGAATAAATTAAATACATATTTATTGTATATATATATAAATATATATATATATATAAAACTATTTTCTTCTTTTTCAAGAAATCAGTATTTGTAAAGCGAATAACTATATCATGATAACTATATAATCTATCTTTATCTACCTATCTATTTTTCTACCTATCAATATCCACCTTTATCATTGTCTATCTACATGTATATTTATATTTCTATCTCAAGCTATATCTATATCAATATATCTTTATCTAACTATATTTATTCATCTATATCTTTCTGTCTCTTTCGCTATATCTATCTATACTTATCTGTATAACTATATTTCTCAATCTCAGTATCTATCTTTCTATAAGTTTATATAGCTCTTTCTATCGATATCCATATAACTGCATTTGTGGTCAGGGCAGTATTGCCGTAATGGTAAGATAACATATAATTCGTATACAATAAAACATAGTTTTACAACCGACAATGCAGTAGGCCTGTAATAAAGAGGGCCCACCTTAGAGGGTGATGAGAATAAAGGGAGTGGTGGGAGGGGTAACTCGCCAGACAAACAACGGTAAGGTGGGACAGGTTTGGAAGCCCTTATAAAGGGGACCCAAGCACCTCCCAAAACTACAGGCCCAGTTTTAAATTTGTGGTCAGGGCAATATTGCCGTGATGGTGAGATAACATATAATTAGTTTACAATAAAAGATAGTTAATAACACCTGTCAGTTGTGGTGGTCCGGAACCGACAATGCAGTAGGCCTGTAATAAAGAAGGTAAAAAGAAGTGTACCATACAAAATGTATTCATACTACAAACATCAATTATTTGGACAAATCTCTCTAAATGCTTGCCGTAACTCTTTAACTGGGTTTGGTATGTATAGAGTCTAAGCAGATGATTTCCAGCGTCCCATAGCTTTATTATATGAGCTGGAATGTGGTTAGAGGAAGCAGTTGATGCTGCCCCAATGCAGAAAGAGTGTCCTGAGTAATGATTTGCATTTAGGCCAGGTTTAGTCAGTATCATACGGACATAGAGCATAAATTTAGCAATAGTGAGAATGGAACTGTGTAGTTCTAATATTGGTTGGTGTGGTTGTTTGTGGAAAGTGTTGAAATATGTATCCAAAACCTTAATGGGGCACTATTTATTATGGGTAGGGATCTGTATAACTATATTTCCCAATCTATCTCCGTATCTATCTTTCTATAAACTTCTTATTCAAATATTTTTTTGCAGATTTTTCAAATAACAACGTAAACATTTACACAATAAGATATAATAATATTAATTAACACCAGCCCACTAGCACTAACAAGTGGCCGCCGGCTGGGGAGGGAGAGGAGAGGAGGACCCAGGGGAGCTCTAGCAAGCAGCTCCACAGGGTTCCTCTCATGAGGTCAGAGCGTTGCCGTGGTTACCATGGCAACGCTCTGATCTCGTGACAGTCAGTTCACCACTAGTACCACCAGGGATTCACCCCCACTACGACCACCAGGGATTCACCTCTATGTCCCCCCTCCCAGGCAAAGGTAAGAAGGGAGGGGGGATATAAAGTATAGAATAATTTTTTTTAAAATAAAAAACAAACATATGTATTTATTACTTTCATCTTCCCCCCACTGCACACCGAACACACACACACGCTTACTACACCCTTCACACCCTTCACTCCTGACACACTGCACCCTCCACACAGATACACACATACACATAGCACCCTTCATACACACTGCACCCTTCACACAGACACACACATACACACAGGACCTTTCATACACACTGTACCCTTCACACAGACACACACATACACACTGCACCTTTCATACACACAGCACCTTTTATACACACTGCACCTTTCACGCACACATACACACTGCACCTCTCACACACACACTGCACCTCTCACACACACACATGCACCTCTCAAACACAGCCTAACACTGCACCCCTCACACACACACCACTCATCCCCCCCCACACACCAAACACACACTCACACTGCACTCCTCACACCCTGCACCCTTCACACACACACACACACACAAACACACAAACTGCACTCACACACTGAACTCTTCACACAGACACATACACACACTGCAGCCTTCATACACACACTGCACCTCACACACACTGCACCCCTCACACACACAAACACACACATACAGACACTAACTACACCCTTCACACACTGCACTCCTCACACACTGCACCTTTCACACACACACACTGCAGCCTTCACACACAGTGCACCCTTCACACACACACACACTGCAACCCTCACACACACTGCAACCCTCACACCCTCACACACACGCTGCACTCCTTACACACATACAAACACACACATTGCACCCTTCAAAAGCCTTGAACCAACATGCTCACTTTGAGAGGGAGTGTGCTTGTCATTGGTGATGACAAATCACCCCCTCTCTGGCCCTGCCCCCTTCTCAGAGGGCCGCTGTGACTCAAAAATGTCATATATCCATATAACTGTATCTATCTATCTATCTAACGTTTTTTCCTCTATAGCTTTCTAACTCACAGACTGCAGGAGGGAGAGCAGAGAGTCTGTTTAGCGGCAGTCAGGAGGAAGGAGGGTGAGCTTGGAGCATGCAGGAGGAAGGAGTGTGGGTTGGCCATCTTAGAGGTTGCAGGCTGGAAGGCTGGAGGTCGCACACGATTGCGATAAAATAAACGTAAAAAAAAATAAAAATACAGGAAAAGTGGGATTGCAGGCACGTTCTACTAGATCGATAGAGTTAACGGAAGTAGGGAATGAATATCCCCAGCTGTTTGATTGACAGCTGATGAGGCATTCCTATTGTTAAAGATAAAAGTGCCAATAATACAATGAATTTGGCACTTTTATAAATGGAACTTTTAAAGTGATACTCTATAGCCATAGAGCATTTCAGCAAGCTGAAGTGCAGTATGGGTCTGGAGTGGTTCTTTAAGGTATTGTATATAATATGTGTTGGTGGAATAAATGACAAAGATGGAAATCATGGTTGAACACACATATTGCAAAAATGCCAAAATTGCGTCCTTAAAGGGTTACTCCAACCACTATGACTACTGCTTTTAAAAGTGGTCATGGTGGTAGAAGTCTGTATGTGCAGCATACTGATTGAAACACTGCACATCCAGAGATGTATTTATACCCTCGGCACACAAGACTTTGACAGCCCGGAACTCTGTTCCATACTGCTAAAATGTAAATTCTGTGCAAAAATACGTCCATCGTCAGTGTGCACTGCACGTTAGCAACAAACGTGATTATACTCTCCCTTGCTGGCAGCACCTACAAGGGAAAGTGTTTATCTCCACTTCCTCCTTCAGTGAAGCCCTCCCTCCTCCCTATTCCCGTCTTTTTAGTCTATTTATTTATTTTTAATTTTCTCTCCTTGTCACCCTCCCTTCCCTCTCTGGACTGCCAAAAGTCAGTTATGTGCAAAAAATATGTCCACTGTGAGAGCACATTGCAGGTAATCGTTTATCTCTCCTCCCTCCCTTCTATTTCATCACTTATTTTAGGGTTGAGATCTACAGAGTAATGCTCAATAGTGCATTATAAAGGGAAAACGCATACAGTAAAAAAGAGCTGGACCCTTAAAGCACAACACAAGCAAACTGAAGCTTGGTCCTTAAGGGGTTAGTAAATGTGATTATATTTTTGATGGAAGGCAAGCATCTCCGCATAAGTCAGAGAGAGGAGACCCTAACAGCTCACAGTTTATCAGCTGATCAAGCAGGAAACACACATTAATGGAGCCAATTCTCTCAGCTGAGAAAACTGTATGTCATTTGAAAAGCACAAGCTTTTGTCTAAAAATTCCCTGGCATTCTTAAAAATAGCCTTTTCTTCAGAAAAATCAGAAATTACTTTTTAAAGGGTGTGACAAGATTCCATTACAAAGACGTAATTAACCCAATGTGATTTCAAATTATATCACACAGAAGAACACAAATGAAGTACAAATGAAAAACAAATCTCAGAAGCCTTTAACAGTGATTTACACATTGGACTATTCACTAAAAGTGCGAATTATTGAAAATTCAAATTGAATTTTAAAATTTACGCCCGAACAGTGGAATTTAACACATTGCTTCTTTAACCCCTTAAGGACACATGACATGTGTGACATGTCATGATTCCCTTTTATTCCAGAAGTTTGGTCCTTAAGGGGTTAAACAATTTTTTTCTAATTTGGCTATATTGGCCTAAAATTTAAAATTCACTGTAAGTATCTCTGATAGTCTTACGTAACCTTCCTAGATTTGCAGCCCCCAGGACCTTCTACCATCAATATGTTATATCTCTGTTATGTTTCATAAAATGTTTACTTCAAGGTCAGCTATGTTTGATTACACAGGGCTGGGTGGAAACTGATTGCTCCTTATGATACATTTAAAAACAAAGTGCATAAAATGGTGGATAATGCTTTGGTCATACGGCAGTCTCGTGGCAAGTACTTTCTGTCATCCAACGTGCCTAATCACATTTAACAAACAAATAAGTAACGTCTAATCCCTACTGCGGCCATGAATATTGTGCACAGATTTTTTCTTCAAGCCTGCAGTTCAGATGGCGGACAGCATAGTCCCACCCTTCTCTCCACTGCGCTGATTGGCTGCATGGCCACCATTTTCATGGTGACATGGTTAATTAGCACACAAAAACAACAAGTCCAAAGTGAAGATCAGATATTTGGAGTCAGTACCAAAGTCTTACTGCAATCACACACAAACCTCATATTCTAGAATATTTTATTTAGTATTACTAATCAATATAAAGCACAATAATTAATACTCTATAAATCCATTTACTTTAAGCAGGGCCGATAACACATGACCCGTGTTGTTCTTGTTTGCACACTCATTTTGCTTCTACATAAATGGTTATTTAATGTAACAGATATTTTGGTGCTACACAAACATTAATAGTTTTAGAATGGTAATGGCCAAATGTGTCTGCATACGTTAAATAGGTAAATATCCAAAATAGTTTTGGCACAGCTGTGCATTCTGATTGGGATATTATAGGCCCTTTAAGAGGGGAGACTTTTCATTGCTTCGAGATGCTATGGATAGAACTGTGGTGGGAATGGCTTAGATATCAGAAAAGGACAAACAACAGTAGCAGATGATAACAAGTAAACAATTACGGTGAATGGGAATTTTATCACATGACAGGAGGCTTCGTATTTTGCATAATCTTTCTTTACTAACTCCATTGCAGCAAAGAAAAGAGTGACAAAACTGAGAACCAATCACAATGCAGTATAGAGTATAAGAGGTGTAACATATGACATAATTTCCTCTTTCTTTGCTGCTCCATCACAAGCTAAGTACAAATTTTGTTCTCTCGTCATTCAGCTCATATATATACTTTACACATTTATATACTTTACTCTGTCTTTATTTTGCATAGTTCTGTCTTGTATATTTTCCTATATTTATTCTTGACATATACACTTTTTACTATTGTCCCCATTTCGGGGGGCTAACCCTCTCCCCTGAGGTCTGCCCCCTGTTTTCCCTCAGGGAATTCCCTTAGGGACCTTTCTCCCCCCTTTTCACTACACTGGCACTTTGCCTCAGGCTTCTACAGATAACTTTCACGGTTCCCGCCGTCCATTCCCCTCCTCCATACTCCCTTCACAGTTTTTTTCCTGTGCGCTTGCGCACAGACGCTTCAAATTCTTCAACCGAACATTTCTCGTTCGGCAGTTTGTCGCGATCGCCTGTTTACTCGCGAACGCCAGTAGTTTTCTGTGCGTTCGTATTGTCATTTCGTTTTTTTCTACCGAACGCTTTCGTTCGGCTGTTTGCCGCGTTCGCCTATTTTAGGCGCTCGCGACCAGTATTACTAGGCGCACGTTCGGTTTCTTTTTCACACGAACGCCAGACGTCTAATTTTGCCGGCCAAATTGGGGGAGGTTCCATCTCCCTCATACTGACGGCTGTTAGTCCGGCGGCCATCTTAGAGGGGATAAGCACTGTCAGCTGCTTGCTCCAGCTACCAAACTGCAAGCAACAGGAATCCCTTTTTCACAGCCTGCCCCTTCACTCAGTGGGACCAAGTCAGGTTGGTACCTAACACCTGGGGTTGGTTAAAGCCAGTTGGACTGTACCTTATTCTTGCCGGGGTGAGCCCCCATTTTGTGCTGCTAAGCGGACCTGTTCATGCAGGACTCCGATTTCCTGGGTGAGCCCCAGTGACACAGCCCTCTCATTATAATTACTATGACCTACTGGTCCCTACCCTCTCAGGTTAACCATTACCGATAACATACCACCCTGGTCCCCAGGCCTCTCCACTAACTGTGCCTAAAGTGCCCTCATGCAATCTATCGGGTGAGCCCCGAATACCTTTCAAAATCATGGAGGAATCTCAAACCTCCTCAGACCTTCAGGCCATGATCACAGCAGCGGTGGCCGCAGCCATGGAAAAAGCCTCTTCTAAGTCGCTCCCCGCAGACCTAGACTCCCCTCAACCCATCTCTAAACGGGTTCACTATAGAGCGGACTCCGAAGACTCCGACTCCTCCAAGGAACGCTCCCATAGGCCTAAGCGCCATTGGAAGGGCGAGGCCACTGCGCCACGCAAATCTAAGGGTAAAGCCCCTGCTAAACGCAGGAAAGCCATGGCTCATACTGCCCACGAACCCACACAGATTTCCTCGGGTGAGGAAGACATAGAACCCACACACTCTCTAGCCGTGCTAGATGAATGGCAGGCTGCAGTCTCTGACCAGGAGGACTCTGGTGAAGACTCCGCGGCCAACTCTGACCCTTATTTCACAAGGGAAAAGTTTCTGGGTGAGCCCCATGATTCCATGGCTACATCCATGGATAACCCACAGGAAAGCACAGAGATTTTCCTTGACAATTCGGGCCTCCAAATGTTTGACCCGAGAAATATCCGTCATCCCTGTTCGGAAGAATGGTCTCCACCCGAACACTTGACAAAGTTTATGCACTTCTGGCTCAGGAAATCTCTGGACAAGGAAGTAAGGAAACGCATGAGATCAGAATGCCCCCGGCCTAGCCTACCAGACAAGGTGGTGCACACCCCCGAATTTGACCCGCTCATGACGACTTTTATGTCCCGAGGGGGTCGGGACCCGCGCAGAGGCATAGAGCGCGGTTTCAAAGGAGCGCAGGGCAAACTGCTAGACGCCATTGGGCTGCTAGCTAGGAATATGGACATGGCAGATGACACCTATGAGAGGGCTGATGATTTCACCCCAGATACGGTGCGTGAGTGGGCACGAGACACCCGTGAATGGGCACAGAGGTGTTTCTGTTTCCTAGGAAACACCAATGTGGCCCTCTCTTCGGAGAGGCGCCGAGCAGCACTTTACCGTATCGACGAAAAACTTGTCGAACTGGGGGACGAAGAATTAGGCCCTTTGGCACAGGGCAAATTGTTTGGAGAGGCCTTCCTCAAAGAATTAAACAAAAGGGTCAACATATTCACGTCCCTTAACAAGGCTCAAACTTCGATGCGGAAAGTCTTCCGCAGTTCTCACACCTGAGGTGTTTTTGGGAGGGCTGGACGGCAGAGGGGCAGTGCCGCCAGCCATTTTTGGCCATCAGGCCCCCGTACAACAAGGAGTCAACCTTTCTACCCAGACTCGTCTACACGACATAGATTCCACCAATTCCGGGGATCAGACCGTGGCCGAGGCAGCCGAGGACACTCCCGGACAAGATTCTCCAACGGTAAGTCAACATTTTATCTTGCCTCTTTTTTTCCAGAACTGGGTAGACCTATCTTCAGACACGTGGATCCTCCAAACGGTGCGGGGCTATCAAATAGAGTTCGATTCAACCCCGCTCCAGAAGGCCCCTCCATGTCCGATCCAGACTACACGTGCAGATGCCCGTCTCATAGACTCGGAACTACGAGAACTTCACTCCAAGGATGCCATCCAACCAGCCCCGGACTTAACAGGCTTCTACAGCAACATCTTCTTAGTCAGAAAGAAAACCGGCGAATTCCGCCCCATAATCAACCTCAGGGAGCTCAATTCTCACGTAGTATACCGACATTTCAAAATGGAAGGTATCCACCTTCTACGAGATCTGCTTCGACGCAACGACTGGTTCACCCGCCTGGACCTCAAGGACGCGTACCTTACCATTCCGGTACACAGAAACAGCCGTCCCTACCTCCGCTTCTTCTGGCAGGGGACACCCTGGCAATTCACCTGTCTCCCGTTTGGCCTCAGTTCAGCACCGTGGTGCTTCACCAAGATTATGAAGCCAGTGGTGGCAAAACTCAGAGCTCGAGGCATAAGATGCATCATCTACCTCGACGACATCCTGATCTTCGACGAGGACGCAAGGACCCTGAGGACACACATGAACTACACTGTACACCTACTCGAGTCTCTAGGTTTCATTGTCAATCATCCCAAGTCCGCATTAATTCCGGTTCAGTCAATTCAATTCCTCGGATTTGTAATAGACTCCACATCATGCACTCTTCACCTCCCGGCCACAAAAATCACATTCCTTCGCAGGAAGCCTACATACGACCAACCGGTTCCAATGTCACACGAAGTTCGGGAGGAACTACGCTGGTGGCTGAACTGTATGCAGGCTTGGAATGGCATGGCCATATTCGGGAACCAGCCAGACTTCGTGCTGGAGTCAGATGCCAGCCGTTCAGGTTGGGGAGCAATGGACGGAACTTCCTCCACAGGAGGAGTATGGACTGCCGAAGAGTTATCAATGCACATCAATTGCCTGGAACTCCTGGCCGGGTCATTCGCCATTCGCAGTCTGGCAAAGGAACGATCCAACTGTTGTATCCTGCTTCGCATGGACAATGTCTCAGCGGTAAGATACATCAACCGCCTGGGAGGCACTTGTTCTCAAGCACTGGTGGATCTCACGAAAGAGATCTTCGATTACTGCCTGCCACGCAACATCACCCTGCTGGCAGAGCATTTACCTGGAGACTCCAACACGACGGCAGATTGGTATTCACGCCACTGGCGGGACGCCGGCGATTGGCAACTAGACCCTCATATTTTCACAATACTGGATGCACAGAGGGGACCTCTCTCCCTAGACCTATTCGCATCCCGCAACAACCGACAGACAAAGGATTTCTTCAGCTGGCTCCCAGACCCGGAGAGCCTTGCAACGGACGCTTTCCTACAACAATGGCCTCGGTTCGGTGCTTACACATTCCCACCTTTCGCGATGATAACGAGGGTCCTTCACCGGATCGGCCTGCAGGGAGTAAGGATAATCCTCATCACGCCTCTTTGGCAGAGCCAGCCATGGTTCCCGGACCTTCTGGAACTGTCAGTCAAGGACCCCCTCCTCCTACCGGATGCTCCAACTATCCTCACGAACCCGTTAGGTCTACCTCACCCACTGGTCATGCAGGAACGCCTGTCCCTTGTGGCCTGGACGCTTTCCGTGGTTCCTGGCGAACCGAGGACCTATCGCAAGAAGCTAGGGACCTCCTTTGGGATTCATGGGCACCAGGAACAAGGAGATGCTATTTATCAGCATGGCACTCCTGGACCAGTTGGTGTATGGGAAGGGACCTCAATCCCTTTACTGCACCTACTCATTCCATCATGAATTTCCTGACCTCTCTGTTCATGGCCGGGAAGTCATACCGGTCCATCAACGTGGTACGATCAGCCATCTCAGCGGCCCATACTCCGTCCCAAGGGTCTCCGGTTGGTCAGGATCCACTCATCTGCAGACTCCTCCGCGGCATGCGCCTTAGGCGCCCTCCGGAGCCCAAATACTCTAGACTTTGGGACGTTGGCGTGGTGCTACAATTCTTACGAAATTGGCCTCCTAACAAGGACCTGTCACTCCGCCAACTTAGCGCAAAATTCACCTTCCTGCTCTGTCTAGTCTCCTTCCGACGGGTATCCGACGTACGCGCTTTCGACGCGATGCTTTTACCTTCTGCCCGGCGGGAGTTACCTTTCAGATCTCACGACGCACTAAGTCCAACTCTCACTCGGTCTTCTACCCTTTCTTCCCTTCGGACCCTCAGCTCTGTGTGGTCTCTACTCTCCGTCAATATGTGGAAGCCACCGCGATGTTGCGGCAACCTTCCACACGTCAACTTCTCATCTGCTACGTCCGCCCCTACGGTCCAGTTTCGGTTAGTACACTGGCCAGATGGGTTAGATGGCTAATATCCCTTGCCGGTATTGACCAAACTTTTGGAGCACATTCCGTACGCGGGGCAGTGGCCTCTTCCACATACGCGGCAGGCGCTTCCCTTTCGGACATCTTACGAGCGGCAGACTGGACCAGGGAATCCACCTTTAGAACGTTCTACTTCCGTCCTCTTGACAATCCAGCTTTTTCTCTGCTCTCCCAGCGTTAAAATTGCAAAATACGAAGCCTCCTGTCATGTGATAAAATTGAAGATTATGATAGCTTTAGTGTACAGATAATCTTAATTTTAATAATGACAGGAGGCGAGTATTTTCCCTCCCTGTTCGCTTTCGCTACTTCCCTCTCTCTGTTTTCACGCATATTTCCTACTTTTGGCTATTATTGTACTGATGCCTAAATTGTGTTTTTTTCTCATACATTTGATACAGATATGCCAGGTGGGTGGGATGTTTTTAGTTAGCACCGATAGACGGGAGGAATGTATTCGTTCTGTTTTTATAAGGGCAATTTTAAATTTAGCATAAGGGAAAGACATCTCATTGCTTTTACACAACCATTTTTGGAATCTAATCCCTTTCATATTCTCGTTTCAGTTTAACCAGATACCTCAAGGAACTAAAGGCTCCATTCAAGGTGTCATCATCATCCTGTCATGGGAGATCACAAACTGACATCAAGAAGTTTCCACTGGAGTCTACCTGTTTACGTTCAGTTTACACGTTCTGACATTGTTTTACCATGGACCTTTCGAGTTACCTTTGTTATTTCTTTTACTTCATGTTCTTGTGATGTTGCATGCTTTTAGAGGAAATGATGTCATATGTTACACCTCTTATACTCTATACTGCATTGTGATTGGTTCTCAGTTTTGGCACTCTTTTCTTTGCTGCTATGGAGTTAGTAAAGAAAGATTATGCAAAATACTCACCTCCTGTCATTATTAAAATTAAGATTATCTGTACACTAAAGCTATCATAATCTTCAATTTGTGAGGTGAGACTCGGAAGAACACTACGTTTTAAGGATGTATGAATAGGGCAGTAACCTGGCATTTAAATTTGTCCCAAAAGTGAAACAGTTAAAGTAAGGGAAGAGTGCCAACCTGTTATGGAGATAAGCTTCAGAATTTGTCTCTAGTTACAAACAGAGCCTTAGGGCTTTTGGTTATGTCCTTTCTTCCTCCTCTAAGTGCCCCCACCCCTTCTGTTTTTTGCTGTATGAGCTACAATGGAGCCTTTTGTCCAATGCGATGATGTGAAAAAGACAGCAAATCACATTGCGGTCGAAGCAACGTGTAGAATCGTAGATGATACTTGCCTGGAGCTAATGGACACCTTAACCCTAATGTGATATAGGACAAGGTACCAAGTCTCTGGAAGCTTCTTCTCAAAGCCAGTATCATGGAAAGGTGGTCCCAAAACTGGTCCATTGAGACGTTAATTTTTGGTGTTGCCCAACGTCCCAAAACTTTGCAATGAGTCATTTTGGTTGTACAGAATACACATGTCCGTTTGACCCATGGATCATGTGATTATCATTAGATTTCTAAAGACCCACAAGCTTCCTACCCTTGAAATTATGAAGCATGTCACGGTCAGGTTATGTTTTTCCTATTTGAGGCGGCGAGGCCGTCTTTTAATCAGTTACAGTTGTATTTACACACTTTAAAACATTAACATTTTACAACAAATCTGACATGTAGAACGTGCACTTTAACTTACTACCACGTGATCGAGTTGCTCTTGACTAATAGCATACAGGCCTTCCATTTTAATAGTAGAGGCGGGTGTTGTTGTGGTGATAGTAACTGGTGGTTTTCACTCCAAGTGAAGGAAAGAGGACATATTTAATGTTATCAGGAAAAATTAATAATTATTTGTTTTAGAATTTCTATTGAATATGTTGTTCTAATGTTTTTTTTATTTATTTATTTTTATTATTTTTTTTATTCTTTATTTTTGTGAGGTACCCCAAAGGCATTCCTCTAGCACATTTGAAACAGTTAAGCATAGAGGTACGTGATGAATCTAGCACATATTTTATATATACAGGTTTTTATAAGTCGAGATATAAGCAGAGTATATTTTAGCTTAATCTCTTCTATAAATATAATGGTATCTAAACATTTGCTCGGTTCGCTGTGATCTATCTGAGGTCTAGCCAACATGTCACTCTTGTGCCAGTGCGTAGTCTTAAGATTAATGATGGAGGTGACATCCGCTTAACATCCTTACGTTAAAGGCACAGTAATTAATTTATCAAGGTATGGGTAAGATTAGACAACATTGCTTTGTATGCTGTTATTCAGTCGTTTGGATGTCTATCTGCGATATGTGAGAATAGATTTAAACAGAGTGCTGCATCTGAGTGCTTGATGTTTAAACATGCTAGGGCTGTATTGTATACAAAACTTTTAAGTAATGGCCGAGTGGGGAGGTATAATAGCTAGGAAAAATAGCACCTTGGTTATAGACTGCCTGGTGAAAACAAGCCTTATCTTCGCATTTGTGGTTGCAGGAGAATAGTCCTTCTTGGGTTTAGTCCGCTTTGATCAGCCGATGCCGGCTCTGGATGCCTGATAGATGGGCCGTGGATAGTGGCAGGGTTGGTGTCTCGGTGAGATATCATCTCCGCTGAGCTCTGAGGGGGCTCTCTGTGTGTGTCTCTTGTGTGCAGGAAGCCTTGCTGCATCTTGGCTAGCCTCATGGCCCCCAGCGTGAGTTCCTGGTTGCCGGGTTGTGCCTTGCTGGTCGGTGGTCTCCGGTGCTGCTGGGTAACAGCTCTCTAACACACTAACACACACACTCTAACACACACACGCACTAACACACACACACACACACTCTAACACTAACACACACTCTAACACTAACACACACACACTAACACACACACACACACACACTAACACACACATTAACACTAACACACACACACACTAACACACACACAAACACTCACTCTAACACTAACACACACACACACACACACACACACACACACACACACTAACACACACACACATACACACTGTGTTTACTGACTTGTCATGCTTGGTGACACTTCCCTAAATAAGCCAAACTTCCCCCATGACACCAACATGCTGGCTTTGTTGCATGCTGTCATCTGAATGAAGTTTGTATACTTCCTAGCATGCACTGGGGTGCTGTGAGTGGACAACAGAAGAACTGAAATCGGCTTGTGGTAGTTCTCTTCTACGCTCGTTTATCAATCAATTTGATTTTTTTTTTCTTTTTTTTTTTTCCAGTCTATATTTAAAAAGACCAAAAGTGGTTTGGAGCATGACAGGTGTCCTTTAAAGTGTCTATCTTTGTTGTTTTGAAATGTTATTTTGATGCAATATTTATAATAATGATTGACAGGGAGTCAAGATGGCGTTTTGGGATAAATCTGTGGATTTCAAAATTGGATTTATGGTTTTCTGGGGCCTGTGCAACCCATTCTATTTTTCTATTTTACATGAAAAACTCTTTCATTATCATGAGTCAAGGAAAAATAATAAGTAAGGCATTCACAAATATACCACATTTGAAGTTAGCAGATTTAAGACTTATTGATGTCTTGCATGAAATTTTTTTGAAGAAAGTTAAAAGAATAAAATGAATTAAAAGAACATAACATAAGAATTAAAAGAACATAGCATAAAATCAAAACCAAACTAAATATGTTCTCTTCTACTAATCATGTGTATGAAGGCACCATAAATTAGGTCTGCAGCCTTAGTGTAATAAAGTTGATGCAACATCAGGGGAAACAAATTTGAAGTTCTTAAAGGGACACTGTAGGCACCCAGACCATTTCAGCTCATTGAAGTAGTCTAGGTGCAAACTCCCATCACCCTTAACCCTGCAGTGGTAATTGTTGCAGGTTTTTTTTTAACTGCAACAATTACCTCTGAGGGTTAACTCCTCCTCTAGTAGGTGTCTGCAAGATAGCCACTAGAGGGACTTCCTGGTTTGAAACAGACATTTGGTCCGTTATCTGACCCTGGACGTCCTCACGGTCTGCAGGAGAACCTCCAGCACCAGATTTTCCCAATAGAAAGCATTGAATAATGGTGAAATACTAATGCAATGCAGCCATGGGCTGCCATGGACATCGGCAATGGATCCAGGTAAGTGACTGAAGGGGTTATTAACCCCTTAGTGCTGCTGAAGGGGGCCTTGACAAAGGGGAAATCTATAGTACCAGGAACACGAGTTTGTTTTCCTGGCACTATAGAATCCCTTTAATTTCAAAAGGTTTGTATTCTGAGACTATGGGGGGGTTGGGGTGGCCCTGGTTAAGTAACAATCTGTAAATACGAAAGTGGACTTAATTTTGGCCTGGGTAGGTCTATCTAGTGAGTTAATACATGAAAAACTCTGTGATGTATCCTGTTGATGTTTCTATTCTAATCGTTGTTCTCGCACTTATATCACTACCTGTAATGTTTGCACGGACTATTGGGGATCTGCGTGTTCTACCAAGTGACTCCTCTGCGTAATCATTTATCACTTATAGCAAAATAAAAACTTATATTTACAAAAAAATACATGAAAAACTCTTTAATGAAAAATATATTCACAAACAAAAAAATATGTGGATTTCTATATTTAAGTTGTGAATCTAATCTAGAGCATATCCTATTATAAAGTCTACGTGACTGTTTTTGTGGGTTAATGTAGGGATCATATCACTCTTTATAACTTGTGATCTTATATTAAGTATTCAGGTGTATTGTTACAACAAAACCAAGATTTATTTACAGTGTTTGAATATCTTATTCAAAATGTCACTTTTTAAACATACGAACCATTTCATATCTAATATACAATCAATCAATGACAATTATTTAAATAATGATTGTTGCTAAATGCCAAGGATCTGAACGGCAGTGGGAAACAACAAAAGTCATCAAAGATACAGCTAGTGAGGTTTGGACTTTGTGCGGTTACTGATAGTGCTATAGATCATTTCATTAGCACCATACTCATTAGTATAATTGTTCGACAGTATATGTTTATGGTGGTATTTTACATATTTATTGCCGTGTGAGATATAATAGGCATTACGCATTCATGCATAGCAGCAGAATGCTATAACTGGACCATGGAACAGAAAACACAGGGATGAGATGGAAGGAATGCAATAGGGGTTACTGTATGGGGGATGAAGGGGGAGTGAGGGAGGGCAAGGGTGCTTGTAAGGCTAAATTAAATTCAGTGAGGTCACATGCTCAGCCTGCTTTCATCTGTTTTTTTGGTTCCCCTCTTTTAGAGAACAAGGAAACCCATTCATGGTCCGGCATCTGAGTTGGCGGGACACAAGGCCCCCGGCTTCTTTTCCCTTGCTTTTTAATGGTGATGTTCTCACTGACAAACCCGAGAAGGAAATAAATATGGAAAAAAAAGAGAGAGAAAAATATGTGGCGCATGATCCCATGGGTGATTCAGACAGAACCCTGCAAGAAGAGGACAGTGGGAATGGAGCCAAGCATAAATGTTCCATTTTTTATGGAAATCTGTGTTGTGGTGGAACAGTGAAGTTGCCACACAATGACCTGTGACCTCCAGATCACCACCTGCTTATTATGTGTCTAACAGGTTCTCCAGCAATGATACCAGCTACATGACCAGCTATAAGAAAAGTCCTCTTATACTATCTCTGATATTAATAATTAATAAAGTCACATACTTTAACAGAGTCAATGTGCCGCTCTGAGCATCATAAAAACAAAATAATGTACAATTTATTCAAATTCTTAATTTTACATTCTACAAATGTCATTGTCTTATGGCTGCCTCAATAACCCTTTCCAAGCTAGAAGTTTGTTCAAATCTATTCATATATGGGATGCAAATACTTAAATAGACATTCGGGACACCCTAATAACCTTAACAAGCTGAAGTGATTATGATGTCCAGAGTGTTTAAAAGACTGTTATAAATACCAAGACCACTTCATGTTGAATGAAGTGGTCTCAATACTGTACTCCTGAAGCTTCAGACTCATCGTTTTGGCAATGCACTAATGTTGACATAGCGAAGTTAACTACACCTCTAATGGCTGTCTCCCTTACAGCATGTGCCCACAACAGAGTCAGACTCGGTCCTTGATGTTTGACATCCTCTGCATGATGATGTTGAACTAGCTGCACAATCCCTGCAGCTCTGATGTTTCTCATAGAATTCCACATTCACTTTTTGTCTACAATGCTTCTCTAGGAGAAGCGTTTGATTGGACAAAAGGTCATCAAGAAGTCCTTAAGCTTAATGGCAAGAAAAAAGTCAGATCAAGGTGGTGCAAGTGTCTGCGCTGTTTCACTTAACTAATTTGTTAAACTGACAAAATAGGGATTAAAGTGGAGGTCAATCAGAGAGGCAGGAATTACAGCTCCATCTCACAGCACTCACAGTGTGCTGACTTGAAGAGAGAGTGAGAGCTTGCAAGGGAAAAAGCTATCTTTGTTTCTGAGATGATTGGTGCTTGGCAGACTTTGGACTTGCAAGCATTTGCACCTGGTGAGCAGCACTTGCAAGTATCTCCATGTAGACATCATAGCAACTTCATGAACATAAAGTGGCCCTTTTTCTTGCATAATTTCTGCAGTTAGACCAGTCATGGGTGGATTGTTTTGTGTGACGGTGACCAGGGCTTTGGACACCGATAAAACGTAGTGTAACAGTATGCATTCCTTTGTCTTCTAGTATGTGTGTGTGTGTGGTGGGGGTGTTAATATGATAAGAGGTCTTAATAATCCTCTGTACTTATTGGTATTGGGCATCCCCTGGTTCAGTGAGTATTGGGCTAGGGAACTTGAGTAGCACATTTGTATTATTTACCTGTTCTCAAAGTCCCTCCTACCCAATATTGCTTATCTTTCACCTCTACACACAGTGTGGGGAATGAGGAGTTACTCCTGGTAAGACTTGGTGACCTGAAAACTTCAAGCTATTCATTTTAAAATCCTCCACCCTTAGTGCATGGTGTTCGTGGTGCCAACGACAGAATCACTTGTCCGTAGGGTAATGCAATGCTGTTTTATTGTTTGTAGCATTAAGTAGCCACTTCTGTGGTGGTTTTCATGGAACCAAATGCTGGTGGCCGATGAACACGCCCTGTGAGCAAACTAGGGCAGAGGTTTTTTTTCTCCAAATTTCGATTGTAACTCTTTTAATGACTTAAATAGTTTTCTATGCACACAAGAACTTTTACTTCAAAAGAATACATGAGTTACACCTTTATACTGTAACAACTATACATGAACAGCATACAGTATATCTCTTTGGCACATTAGTCCACATCTCAGGTTCTCTCTATGTACTTTAATATATGCTAGCAATGCATAACAGACTTATAATTTGAAATGACTGGTAAACAGAGATATTCCTCTGGGATTACTCCTACTCTTACAGGCATTGGCAGCTGAAAGTGAATGCGCTTCAGTTATCTGAGAGTTACGCTCACCTCATACATTGCTGGCGGTTACGTTTGGCCACAAGCCCAGTAACAAAGTGGTTTACTTTGACTGTGGGCAAATACCTTCTCCCTTCCCTCTCAGTGCTTTCTGTCTCACTAGTTTCAGTCATGTGTTCTTCTATATTATATTTAGACAAATATAGGCACTTTTATTGTTTTGCCAATGGCTATGGAAAATGTTTTAAAGGAGTGGTGAAGATATAGTCTTATTTACTCTCAACATAATTTTAATTTGGGGGGGGGGGCTACAGAGGGTGGGGGGGTGGTGCTTCCCAGAACATTATCAGAGGTGATTCTACACCCCACAAGAGTGTAAGGACTGTCCTTCACTGTCTCACCACAACTGCTGCCCAATGCACTGCCAGAAGAGGGTGAGGGGAAAGGCAGACATTTCGGTGATTCATAGTCAGAGAGGGAAGGTAGGTTAGTCCTGGGGAGGAATGAGAAGTAAGAAATCAGGACAGATGGGTAGCTCAGAGGAGCACCAGCACTCCCCCCTTAAGGACACATGACGGAAATATTCCATCATGATTACCGTTTATTCCAGAAGTTGTGTTCTTAAGGGGTTAATGGTGACGCCAGCACTGTCACTGGTGGCACCCTTAATGCACTGCATGGGGACACCAGGAAACAAAATCCGGATGGCGAGACCGGACCCCAAACTTTAGACTGTCCCACCAAAATCAGGACTCTTGGGAGGGTGTATCTCCAATCTCGCTAAAAATTTGCTTGTGTAACGTATTTTGCTCCCTGCTAACACACCGTCTGACCAGCACGCTTAACACCAAGATTCTAATAGAAGAACACTCATCAGTTAATGGAGAATTCTGCATATGTTTATATTCACATGAATTGAAACATTGTTGGTCCCTTCCAGATTACTTGAGGTTCCTAGGGATTCCCACACAATTTATTCCTCTGATGTTGACTAATGGCAGATCACCTTGTTGTAAATATATCTGAGTTTTTTTGTGTTTTGTTCATTGTTTTAGCAGATGGCTGATCTCTTGCTGCTCTCTGCTGCAGCTCTGAAAAAGGTAGTGACAGCTATAGATGTAGCCCTTGCTTAGTGTTTGGACAGTGTGTATAGAATGCTTCTTTCTTTCTCTTTCTATTTCTCGCTCTCCTTCCTTTCTTTCTTTTCTTCCTTGACACAGACTTAAAATATTCTTATGCCTTTTTTTTTTTTTAATCATGCTAGACTAGAGTAGAGCATTGTATGATCTTTATCTCTCTCAAAGGGCACACTGCTCACTTTAGCAATAACTGAGCATCTAACAAAGAATTGTGAAAAATAAAATCAGGAAAAAAAATTAAAATGTGCTTATCTTTTAGTTGTTGGAAAAAATAAATCTCAACAACTACGTGTGGATTTCCCATAACTCTACGCACAGCATTTTCTCACATATTTTAAAATAGAGTCACTTGCACACACACATAACATCCCATTCACTTGAAAACAAAACACAAGGAGAGACACAAAAGTAACATGTAAATGTAAGTGTTTTGTGATTCCGTTCACTTGTGTGAATGTTGACAATAATTTTGTTTAAGTGAACATAATGCTACTCGCACCTGCATCAGTGTAGTGGTTATGAAGGAACAGATAATAGATTCTTTTTGTAAAGTAATTTTTTTTAAATGTAATTGTTATATCACCCGGATATAGGAAAGATCAATAAAAGAAAGGCGAATGTCTAGGCCTATGGGTGCCCAAAATGTATTAATACCAAGAGTTGTTGCAGTCGATTACAAAATTGTTCATGTGGTAACACCACGAAAAGAACAGAAGGGGGCACTGTGAAAATTATACTCGAGTAAGACTGGAAAAATTAAGGTGAATCCTATCAAGCAAAAATATCTGATAGTTTATCTGAAGTGTAATACATTTCAAGATCTAAGGCGACGGATTCAATAGCAGATAAATTGTGCATTTGCTTTCTGTGACAATGTAACTAAAGATCAAGATTACTAAAAAACAAACCAAATAAAAAAAGCAAAAAAAAAAAACAACCCAAAAACTTGTCACACGTTTGGCCTTAATAGATGATGAGCTATTTGCTGTTTGTATAACAGTGAGAGTTTAATTATTTCCTGCTGTGTAAAATGCAATGTTTTGTCTGCATCATCTTATCATTTTTATGTTTGACTTAAATTAAAAAAATTAAAACTTGTATATTACTTGTATATTTGTATTATTTTGTCATGATCATTTCTTTACAATAAAGGATAAAAAAAAGCCTGTATTTGACGAGTTAGAAAAGTAAATAAAACTAAATCAAGATAATTTTGCCTAATGAGCCACCAGATGCATGTTTGCTCCTTAGATGCCTTGAGCAACTCTTCTAATACAGTAAGTTTCACATCTCATCATGCAAACACAGTTACATCGTCAAGCAAACACTATAAACTACTTACTTACACTTAAACTAAACATTGTAATATCAGTGTGCAAATACTGTAATGTGTGCACAAATTGCTACCAATTAATTCATTTAAAAGGCGGTTGAACAAGGAAGAAATCAGAGTACTATATATGAACTAACACAATAATTTAATTACCTGCCATTTTCATTGTATATTTAGCACAGATTGCGGTGAGATCACAAATATTTACAGAGTTATTCGCTAAACTGAGAATTTATTGGGAATCCAGACTGAAGTCCAAATTTTACACCAAAATAGCGTAGCTGAAAACATAGCGAAAACATAGACGATTTTTCTAATTCAGCTGTTTTGTTCCATAATGTGATATACCCCTTTCCCCCCACAATTCATGCATTAGTAAATAACACTGTAGAATGCTTATGGAAAATAGGTTTGAATGGTACACATGGGCAGAGGGGTTTATTCAACAAGTCTGAATCTAATAATCTAATTGTTAAGATAAAATATATGAACAAATGTCTTAATAAAAATGTAAATTATACTGGGATATCTACTTCAATAAAATACAAACAACACTCTATATGGCAAAGTGCACACCGGAGTTAGATATTTATAATACATTTAATATTACCTTTTAAATTCACCTTTAAATTGTAAGAATTTACAAAAAATTTAATAAACATAGAAACTATACAAATAAAAAAAGAGAAGTCCTGCGCTCACTCCCATCACTACTGGGCTGGCAGCAATGACTACAGTACACATCAGCCCCAATATATAGTAAAAACCAAAGGAAAAGGTTACCTGCGCTCTCTCCTTAATCCCTCCTTAGACAAATGGAGGTCATTTAGTATATATAAACTATACAATTTATGTAAGAAAAAAGAATGCAATTGTGTAATATTGTGTAACTCCAAATAATATTGGAGAATACTGTATATTGCACTCACAAAAGTAAAATTGATTGCAGGCACATAGGAATGGCTTTAACCCCTTAAGGATCAAACTTCTGTACTAAAAGGGAATCATGACATGTCACACATACATGTAAGAGAAGGAGAGTGACACATACATAGTGCAATATTGACAAAATAAACTCCTTTCTTTAAATTGCACACGATTAATAAATGTATATTTCACATCAAAGTCTCGCTCTTCCAGGACCTGATAACAGATGAGGTTCCACAGCAACAAGCACAATATGATGGCAAAGGTTGATAAAATCAATAAAAAATAAAAAGTCACTATAAAGTAACTTAATATTACAAAGTTTGCAGTGCAAAATGTAAACACTATGTGGGTCTCCAAGCCCTATGCGTTTAACTGTTCTACTTCAGAAAACATTGGGGTTTAATCATTGAACTGTACATTTTGGTGAATTGAAAACGATTTTTTTTTTTTTTTTTTTAAACTACAATAGTCAAGCTGTAAAAAGAGCTGAATTGGAGATATGTTATTCTAAAGTTTGCAGTTCAGCTTCCAGTTTACCCAAATTCCCTGTTTTAAGAATTCTTGGGAATGTACCAGAAATTTGCCAATTACAGGTAAAACCTTTAAAATGTCCTAAAAATGTTTGGGGCTTGGTTAATCTAAGCCTACAATTTGCAATTTTCATGTAAAATTCTAATTAAATTCTCACCGAAAAAAACCCTCTTTTTGGCTCAAAGGTGTGTTCATTAACAACTGCTGAATATGAACGCATGTCTGAAAGAAACCTTTCAGCTCTCCTGCTGTGTGCTCTTCCTAATAAAACCACAGGATGTCAGAGTATACTAGGGTGTCATGTGGGCAGACTTAGCTACGCAAGGCACTAATGTTGCAGAAAATCATTCTATGTTATTACAAAACCCATGGAGATTCACCTTTTTGAGTGAGAAAGGCGTTAGTCATGCATTTTTATTTATTTAATATCAGAACAGTTCTTATCCAAGGGGCTTCACAATTTATGTAAAAATAGCATTGGTAATTATATAAAAATAGGATACATTTTTAAACACACTGAAACAAAAGGACAAGAGTACCCTGCCCATGAGCTTGCAATCTAGATGGGAATTGCACACAGAGGCAAACATTGTGTGCAGAAAATACAATTGTGTAGTGACAGAACTATATCTATGATTGTGCCAATATAAGGAGTCCTGCTTTACAATCTGTGTACCTTACATAGCGAGTATGATGTAGATACAATCTAGAAGCAATGCTCTGCAGTCACTATGCACTGAATGCAGAGAAAATAGGAGACAATTAGTATGCAGTGGGTAAAATATAAACTATGGACAAAATGTTAGGTTGATAAAAAGCAAGCAGTCAGGAGATACTGTTGCTCAAGGGAAACTGCAGAGAAGGGAAGGTGTTTATTGGAGAAGAAAATTGACTTAGTTGGGTTAGACTTTCACCCAGTCTCCACTTCTTAAAAAAAATTATTGAAAACCCAATTCTTAAGGAAAGTGTATCAATTAAACTGCCAACAGCTTTCTCTCCCCGCACCCTGATTCCTCTCCTGCAGCTGTCAAAAATAACCTACTAAGCCCTTTTGAATACTTTTCTAGCAACCTACTTTTCTACCCCTACTTTTACCCTTTGTGTCACTACACCCCACTCCCTGTAGCATGTAAGCTCATTGACCAGGGCCCTCAATCACTGTTCCTGGGCATCCATTTGTCTGGTTACAAATACGTGTCTGCTAATCCACCCATTGTACAGTGATACAGAACTTGCTGGCGCTTTATAAATAATAAAACAAAATAATATTATGCCAAGAATCACTTTAAATTTGTATGAAAGAGTTGCATCTGGAGACAGGAAGAAATCTAAGCGGTGGGAATATCGGGAGGTTGATATGGTCAGATATGTTGGGCTTTGAGGGACAAGTGACGGATTTAGTTAGGAATTGACGGGGAAGTCTTCAACGAAGAAGTAGGGCTTTAGAAGTATGTAGAAGATCCCAAACTCCAAAATCTCTCCCCACTCTCCTTCTAAGTAGAATATTTTTTGCTCATAAGTGAAACAAAGGTTACTCTCAGATCATCAAATATATCAAAGTTTTTACAAAGCCTTACGTAGCATTTCTAATATTAAAGTTAAATAAAATTATTTTCAAAAATTATGAAAAAACAGGCTATACTCGCTACCATTATGGCTGGGCATGTTACTAGTAAATTACTAATAGAAATTGTGCCACTGACAAGCCCCGTGATGGGCCTGCTTGGTATGTCAATGCCTACTGACAGCAGGAAGGAGAGAGTGAATACAAATTCAGAATTCAAGTCTACATGTACAAAGACAGATTAATGTCTGTTAAGCACAGCAGAATGTGTAATTTGTCCCTCGCACATATTCATTAGATATTTATCCTGTACTGATCTTTGACCTTTAGTGGTTAACAGTTAATTACAATTGGTGATTTAATCTCCATTGTCATGAATGGCTCAGGACTAATTAACGGTGACTAATTGGTACAGTTCAGTAATGAGATGTGGAAAGAGATACTGACACAGTGGTCATGCATGTAGTCGTTTAGATAGAATGATTTGTGCAAAGGGAAATGAATGCCATTATTACACTAATTAATGTCACTGAACATACATTGTTTATTGTAAATTGTTCATCCACTGTATAAATATTTGTCTTTTATAAAAAATACACTGGGTTATTATGTCACTGTAAAATGCAAACATGACAGTGTGTATAGATATATAATATTTAGGGTATAACCATATCAGCAACATTTTTCTTTTTGAAATGTGTTAAAGAGCACTGATGCTTTATTTCATTGTTTATTTTTTGGTTGTGTGAGTAGGCTGAAGTCATAACACACATACAGCTCACCACTCACATCACACACAGCAGTCACAAACACACACACACACACACACACACACACACTCTCTCTCTCCACGTTACTGCAGGTATTATTACTTTAGAATTATCTGATAAATTCAATCTCACTGTGCTTTCTGGGAGTGTGGATAAATGTGAAACACTCAAACACATTGCTAGGAGTTTTATTACTGTGGAGCTCTGTAGTACACTTAACTACATATTACTTTGAATGTTAATGTTAAAAAGTTTTCGGATACATTGATGCACTCAAAGTGCATTACCACGAGGAGCTCTGTGATACACTAATATACAAGGCACAGTATGAGGTTTCCTGTCATGGGACAAACGTAAAGAGATTTGGAGAAAAATACTGCAAAAATACTGAAAAATACCTTGCTCTCAGGTTGGCTTGGTACCTGGAGTGTGCCTTTAACCAGAGGTGTAATCAGATTGTCTGGCACCCATGGTAAGACTTTAAATCCACCCCTCCCACCCCATAGATTTTTTTTATTGTTGTTATACAGACACATGCTCACATTCATATACACACATACGCACATACAAAAATTAATCTGCACAAACGCTCGCATTCATATACACTCAAATTCATATATGCATATTGAGGGGAGAGCGGGTGTTTGAATTCTGTGCATTCTCCTGCTACCTGTCAGCCGGGGTGGATCGTTCCACCGCAATCCAGGTAAGTACTAAATTGCAAAATTCATACGATAATAGCCAAGTAACAACTATAGCAATGGCAAGAGGGCCTGATCCAGGAGGTAAGAAAAGCTGAACTAATATATAAAGCAGGGTTTGTAGGACTAAACA